CCGGCTAAGGAGTATTGGTGTCTCTGAGGGGTCTTTGGCCTGGTTTGCTAACCACCTATCTCAAAGAGTGCAGTGTATAAAGTCAGAACATCTGCTATCTCAGCCACTGCCTGTCACCAAGGGAGTACCCCAAGGCTCGATCCTAGGCCCCACGCTCTTCTCAATTTACATCAACAATATAGCTCAGGCAGTAGGAAGCTCTCTCATCCATTTATATGCAGATGATACTGAACTGGCCCCTCCCAGAATTGTGTGTTAAACGCTCTACAACAAAGCTTTCTTAGTGTCCAACAAGATTTCTCTGCCCTTAACCTTGTTCTGAACACCTCCAAAACAAAGGCCATGTGGTTTGGTAAGAAGAATGCCCCTCTCCCCACCGGTGTGATTACTACCTCTGAGGGTTTAGAGCTTGATATAGTCACCTCATACAAGTACTTGGGAGTATGGCTAGACGGTACACTGTTCTTCTCTCAGCGCATATCAAAGCTGCAGGCTAAGGTTAAATCTAGACTTGGTTTCCTCTATCATAATCGCTCCTCTTTCACCCCAGCTGCCAAACTAACCCTGATTCAGATGACCATCCTACCCATGCCAGATTACGGAGACGTAATTTATAGATTGGCAGGTAAGGGTGTTCTCGAGCGGCTAGATGTTCTTTACCATTCGGCCATCAGATTTGCCACCAATGCTACTTATAGGACACATCACTGCACTCTATACTCCTCTGTAAACTGGTCATCTCTGTATACCCGTCGCAAGACCCCCTGGTTGATGCTTATTTACAAAACCCTCTTAGACCTCACTCCCCCTATCTGAGATACCTACTGCAGCGCTCATCATCCACCCGTTCTGCCAGTCACAGTCTGTTAAAGGTCCCCAAAGCACACACATCCCTGGATCGCTCCTCTTTCCATTTCGCTGCAGCTAGCGACTGGAACAAGCTGCAAAAAACACTCAAACTGGACAGTTTTATCTTCATCTCTTCATTCAAAGACTCAATCATGGACAATCTGACAGTAGTGGCTGCTTCGCGTGATGTATTGTTGTCTCTACCTTCTTGCCCTTTGTGCTGTTGTCTGTGCCCAATAATGTCTGTACTATGTCTTGTGCTGCTACCATGTTGTGCTGCTGCCATGTTGTGTTGCTACCATGTTGTGTTGCTACCATGTTGTGTTGCTACCATGTTGTGCTGCTGCCGTGTTGTGCTGCTGCCATGTTGTGTTGCTACCATGTTGTTTTCATGTTGGGTTGCTACCTTGCTGTGTTGTTGTGTGTTGCTGCCATGCTATGTTGTTGTCTTAGGTCTCTCTTTATGTAGTGTTGTGTTGTCTCTCTTGTTGCGATGTGTGTTTGGTCCTATATTTATATATATTTATTTTTTAAATCCCAGCCCCCGTCCCCGCAGGAGGCCTTTTGGCATTTGGTAGGCCGTCATTGTAAATAATAATTTGTTCTTAACTGACTTGCCTAGTTAAATAAAAAATACAATAAATGAAAAATACATCCAATCACACAGAGGTCTGGAAAGAAGTTTCATGTAAAGCATCCATCCTTCAGGCAAAATCATCCATTGGTGTTTTAACACTTTTAAATGCGATAAGCATTCCTCCATCTCTCCAGGTTTAAAAAGCTAAACTTTAGGATGTTTGTGAATTGAGCTAGTTATCCCCAAGGGGAGAGAGGTGTGTCAGCAAACTCCAAGCCAGAGAAATTCAATTACACTGACAGCGGGATTCCCCAGAAACTCCCCCCCTGTCTTGCCTCCTCCAGCCCCCCCCACCACCACTACCGAGCCAGCCCACTACTTCACCTCAGCGTACCCCCACCTCTCCCCAGCCTCACCCCCCAACACCTCCCAACACCTCCCAGCCAAACCACCACTACAAAGCCTCTTTGAAGGCCTTTTGTTTGCATCTCTGTCTCGCGCCCCTCGCTCTCTTTTGGGAAAGAGGAGCCAAATATGTGTGGCAGACTATGTGGGGGGAGTCCAAGAGTGGAGACTGGGCAGAACAGAACAGAGCAATGATTCGGTTGACATTAAGGTGCATAGTATAGATCCCTTTCTGTGTTCGCAAACATTGCCGCACGAGGGCGATGTGCGCAAGTTGGTGGCAGAACACGGGGCAGTTCTTATAGAACGCCAGCAAAAAAAGCCTCTATTTACATGTTGCTTATGAGTGCATTTCACACCACTTTTGGATTGCAATTGGATTTTAAGGCTCGTATGAATGTCCTGCTTAATATAATGTTTGTGTCATCATCACAAATCAACTGCATTCTACTTAAAAAACACTTAAACTTCAACCAGTAAAATGGCTCTTTAGCTAGCTTTTGCTACAGCCTATGTCAATGAGCGTTAGCATTCTAGTTAAAAGCTGCTGCATCCATAATAGTTATTTTGCAAAGATCACAACCAAAAATAATCTTAGCGACTGTCCAAGCAAGACTGAAAACCCACAAAAGTTATTTTGTTTAGAAGTAATAAAAATTTAAATCTAGGCTGTTGAATGGGCGCAGATGGCGATGGCTTTCTTACTGCCACCAAGAGTCATGCTCATATGTGCGTGACGTCAGTGTGTCATGGAAAAGGGTCTACAGTATATGCTGTAATACCAAAGCTAATAAATAACAGGTGATTATATTCATTATTTTAGAGCAAGCCAGCTTTAGAATTCTCTACCCCACTCCTCCTTACATCTCTCCCCCTATCTCTCCATCCCTCCAACTCCCATTCTGGCACTGTTCTCTCATTTAGCACCTCAGTAACGATTTTAGTGTTTGTCTGCTAAAGTCCCCAAGGCCTGCTTGGCATCTGGACGCCATGAGCGAAGCTACAGAACTCAGCATTCAGTCAGCAACTAACATCTGTTCCCCTTGGACTTCAAACATTAGACCTCATCCATCAGCTTGGCTCTGAATGATGATCAACCAGCTGTGCCTCATCAACTATCTGTGGAAGACCATCTCCCATCAACTGACAGCTCGCTGAATTTGGTTTGGTTAGTTTTTTTTAATTGGCTTTGAGATTAAACATGGTACAGATAGAGCACAAATAGACTACAGACTTGGCAATAGCCAGCACTAATCACTCACTGCAGTGAGCCTTTTTTTGACACATGGGCCATGCCAGTCAAGCAGACAGTCTGTGTAGATTACCCTAATGCCCTCTGTTTGACAGTGCGATGTGAAGAGGAAGGTTCAGGGGCACGCAAGGGTATCACTTCTAGCAAAATATCAGGTTAGAGAGGCCAGAGAGGTGATCCGTGCCCAGCCCCAACCCAGTCCCATTCTGCCACAGGCAGACAAGCAGACACAATATTGCTGTTATGCAATGATGTGTGTGTGTGTGTGTGTGTGTGTGTGTGTGTGTGTGTGTGTGTGTGTGTGTGTGTGTGTGTGTGTGTGTGTGTGTGTGTGTGTGTGTGTGTGTGTGTGTGTATTATAAGCATCCCAGGCATGACTTCATGTCAGGATGCACAAACATGGCCAAGAATTTGTGGTGTTTGTGTGCAGATTAAAAACAGCTCCACTTGCTAGCATGCTGCTAGGATACAGTATATCTAAATTCAGGCTTTTAAAATTCTAGAATCACTGGAATCTCAAAAGACACCAGCTGTGTATATAGAAAAATGTTCCTGCAAGATGAGCTCCTATGTTGCTTTCCTAAAATGAATGAACGAATCAGAGTCTGGATTTAGGCAGCCTGTCCGTTTGTATGTTACAGCACAAAACAGATTATATTTATCCTACAGACAGATCATGCCGTTATTGGTGTGTGTGTGTGTGTGTGTGTGTGTGTGTGTGTGTGTGTGTGTGTGTGCGTGTGTGTTATTGGTGTGATGTGCAGCTAAAACCAGGCTTTGCATCCTATTTCATCACGGTGTTTCATCCAACGGCCTGCTGAAGCCTGGGTATTTAGGTCTTAGAACGGGGGCATTGATTTCTAGTCCGCTTGATGCATTTCAAATGTCCCTTAAGCAGGCCATAGAGAAAGTGAGAGAGCGAGAGAGAGAGAGAGAGAGAGAGAGAGAGAGAGAGAGAGAGAGAGAGAGAGAGAGAGAGAGAGAGAGAGAGAGAGAGAGAGAAAGAGAGGACAGCCAAAGACAACAATGATAATCAGTGGACTCATCCAAAATCAATTTGCCTGAGTCCTTCTAAAAGCAATTAAGATAGTCTTCTCTTCTTCCTTCAGGGCCGTGATACTCAGTGACATAATTCACCCACATCAATCTGATGGTGGGACACTGAAGAGGCTACATAGGCATCCAGTGTGTGTGTGTGTGTGTGTGTGTGTGTGTGTGTGTGTGTGAGTGAGTGAGTGAGTGAGTGAGTGAGTGAGTGAGTGAGTGAGTGAGTGAGTGAGTGAGTGAGTGAGTGAGTGAGTGAGTGAGTGAGTGAGTGAGTGAGTGAGTGAGTGAGTGAGTGAGTGAGTGAGTGAGTGAGTGAGTGAGTGAGTAAGTGAGTGAGTGAGTGTTATAGGCATCCCAGCCATGACTTCATGTCAGGATGAGAGTGGATTTAAACACAGCAACAGTGAGGCAATCACAACAACAACATAAAGTTATCATTGGTACACAGGCCTGCAGCATCACGGTCCAATTTGATCATATGGTAACCAACTAACACGTATGTCCTTGTTATAGTACTTTGACTGTCGAATGGTCTGTCAGAAATACCACCACTGTGATTAAAAAGTCGGGGCAAGATGGTTGAATGGTGTTGGTGGGAGTGCGATGGTAGCAGGGGTTTGTTCGGTATTCTCCAGCTGAATAGTTTAAACTAAAGGCATATTTTGTGATATGTTTGAGTAGGAGGAAGGAAAGAGGAGAGGGAGAGGAGAGGATAAGTAGATGTTATAGTGTGTATGGTGTGTTTCGATGGCCGGGCTACTTGTTTGATGCTAAATAGTTTGATTTATTCGACCTTGGAGTGTCTGGGGGTGTACATGTGTCGAAGTGGTAACGGCTAACGTGTTGTCATGAACTGCTTACTCGTTGTTGTCAAGTGTAGAAGCCTGTGTAGTCTATGTCTGTTTCTGACGCGTTGTTGAAGCTGTTGTCTGACGGTCTGGGCTGTGTCTGAAGCTGTCTGCTGAAGCTGTTGTCTGATGTTTGAAGTTCTGTATGTCTGAGTGGGAACAGCTGTTGTCTACCTTTGTCTTCTAAGGCTTTTTCAACGCGTTGTCTGAACGCTTCTGTCTGAACACGCTCTGAACAGTCTGTCTGTTGCGTTGCTGTTGTCGGGTTGTCTGTCGAACGTGTGTTGCTGAACGTCTGTTGGTCTGAAGTTGTTGTGTTGAACGCTGTGATGTTGCGGTCTGTGTCTGTGACTTGCTGTCTGTTGAACGGTCGTGTTGAACGGCTTCTGTGAAGTGTCTGAAAGCTGCTGCTGAACGTCGTGTCTGTTGAACAGCTGTCGTCTGAGGCTGTTGACGTCTTCTGTCTGAAGGTCTGTCTGTTGTCTGACGCCTGTCTGTCTGTCTGAACGCGTCGTCTGATGTCCTGAACGGCTGTCTGTCTGAACGCTGTCTGTCTGAACGTCTGTCTGTGTCTGAAGGCTGTCTGTCTGAACAGTGTCGTCTGAACGTCTGTCTGTGAACGTCTGTCTGTTGTCTGAACGGCTGTCTGTTGTCTGAACGTCTGTCTGTCTGTGAACGTCTGTCTGTCGTCTGAACGGTCTGTCTGTGTCTGAACGCTCTTGTCTGAACACCTGTCGCTGAACCTGTCTGTCTGAACAGTCTGTTGCTGTCTGACGTCTGTCTGTATGTCTGACGTCTGTCTGTTGTCTGAACGTCTGTCTGTCTGTCTGAACGTTGTCTGTCTGTCTGAACGGCTTCTGTCTAACGTGTCTGTCTGAACGGTCTGTGTGTCTGAACAGCGCTGTCTGTCTGAACGTCTGTCTGTCTGTCTGAACGTCTGTCTGTCTGTACTGAACGGTCTGTCTGTCTGTCTGAACGTCTGTCTGTCTGTCTGAACGCTGCTGTCTGTCTGAACGGCTGATGTCTGTCTGAACAGCCTGTCTGGTCTGAACAGTCTGTCTGTCTGTCGAACGTCTGTCTGTCGCTGAACGGTCTGTCTGTCTGTCTGAACGTCTGTCTGTTGTCTGAACGGTCTGTCTTATGTCTGAACAGGTCTTCATGTCTGTCTGAACGCTGTCTGTCTGGTCTGTTCTGAACGGTCTGTCTGTCTGTCTGAACGTCTCTGTCTGTCTGAACGGTCTGTTGTATGTCTGAACAGTCTGCTGTTGTCTGAACGGTCTGTCTGTCTGTCTGAACGTCCTGTCTGTCGTGAACGTCTGTCTGTCTGTCTGAACAGTCTGTTGTCTGTTCTGAACAGTCTGTCTGTGTCTGAACGGTCGTCTGTCTGTCTGAACAGCTGTCTGTCTGAACGTCTGTCTGTCTGTCTGAACGTCTGTCTGTCTGTCTGAACGTCTGTCGTTGTCTGAACGTCTGTCGTCTGTCTGAACGTCTGTCTGTCTGTCTGAACGCTGTCTGTCTGTCTGAACGGTCTGTCTGTCTGTTCTGAACGTCTGCTGTCTGTCTGAACGGTCTGTCTGTCTGTCTGAACGGCTGTCTGTGTCTGAACGGTCTGTCTGTCTGTCTGAACGGCCTGTCTGTCTGAACGGTGTCTGTCAACGCCTGTCTGTCTGAACGGCCTGTCTGTCTGAACGCTGTCTGTCTGTCTGTCTGCTGAAGGTCTGTCTGTTGTCTGAACGGTCTGTCTGTATGTCTGAACGGCCTGTCTGTGTCTGAACAGTCTGTCTGTATGTCTGAACTGTCTGTCTGTATGTCTGAACGTCTCTTGTCTGTCTGTCTGAACAGTCTGTCTGTGTCTGAACGTCTGTCTGTCTGAAGCTGTCTGTCTGTCTGTCTGAACGGTCTGTCTGTCTGTCTGAACAGTCCTGTCTGTCTGAACGTGCTGTCTGTCTGAACAGTCCTGTCTGTCTGAACGGTCTGTCTGTCTGTCTGAACGCGCTGTCTGTCTGAACAGCCTGTCTGTCTGAAACGGTCTGTCTGTCTGTCTGAACAGCGCTGTCTGTCTGAACCGGTCTGCGCTGTCTGTCTGAACGGTCTGTCTGTATGTCTGAACGGCTGTCTTCTGTCTGAACTGTCTGTCTGAACAGTCTGTCTGTCTGTCTGAACGTCTGTCTGTTGTCTGAACGGTCTGTCTGTCTGTCTGAACCGGTCTGTGTCTGACTTGTCTGTCTGTCTGAACAGTCTGTCTGTCTGTCTGAACGTCTGTCTGTCTGTCTGAACGGTCTGTCTGTCTGTCTGAACGTCGATTGCTCGGTCTTGTCTGAACAGTCTGTCTGTCTGTCTGAACAGTCTGTCTGTCTTCGAACGGTCTGTCTGTCTGCTGAACAGTCCTGTCTGTCTGAACAGTCTGTCTGTCTGAACGTCTGTCTGTCTGTCTGAACGGCTGTCTGTCTGAACGCCGTCTGTCTGAGTCCTGTCTGTCTGAACGGCCTGTCTGTCTGAACGGTCTGTCTGTCTGTCTGAACGGTCTGTCTGTCTGTCTGAACGGTCTGTCTGTCTGTCTGAACGCTGTCTGTCTGTCTGAACGGTCTGTCTGTCTGTCTGAACGGTCTGTCGCTGCTAACGTCTGTCTTCTGTCTGAACGGTCTGTCTGTTGTCTGAACGACGTCTGCTGTCATGTCTGAACAGTCTGTCTGTCTGAACGTCGTTGTTGTCTGAACGGTCTGTCTGTCTGTCTGAACGGTCTGTCTGTCTGTCTGAACGGTCTGTACCTGTCGTCTGACGTCTGTTCTAACAGTCGTGAGTCTGTCGTGTCTGAACGCTGTCTGTCTGAACGGTCTGTTGTCTGAACGGTCTGTCTGTCTGAACGCTCTGTCGTCTGTCTGAACAGTCTGTCCTGTCTGAACGGTCTGTCTGTCTGTCTGAACGGTCTGTCTGTTGTCTGAACGGTCTGTCTGTTGTCTGAAGGCGTCTGAACGGTCTGTCTGTTGTCTGAACGGTCTGTCTGTCTGTCTGAACGGTCTGTCGTATGTCTGAACGGCTGTCTGTCTGAACGTCTGTCTGTCTGTCTGAACGGTCTGTCTGTCTGTCTGAACGGTCTGTCTGTTGTCTGAAACGTCGTCTTAACGTCTGTCTGTCTGTCTGAACGGTCTGTCTGTCTGAACGCTGTCTGTCTGAACGCCTGTCTGTCTGAACGTCTGTCTGTCTGAACGGTCTGTCTGTTGCTGTCTGAACAGTCTGTCTGTCTGTCTGAACAGTCTGTCTGTCTGTCTGAACGGTCTGTCTGTCTGTCTGAACGGCTGTCTGTCTGAAGCGACGCCTGTCTGTCTGAACGCTCTGTCTGTCTGAACGGTCTGTCTGTATGTTGCTGAACGGTCTGTCTCTGTCTGAACGGTCTGTCTGTCTGTCTGAACGGTCTGTCTGTCTGTCTGAACGGTCTGTCTGTTGTCTGAACGTCCTGTCTGTCTGAACGGTCCTGTGTCTGACGTCTGTCTGTCTGAACGGTCTGTCTGTCTGAACGTCTGCTGACGTCTGCTGTCGAACGGTCTGTCTGTATGTCTGAACGGCCTGTCTGAAGGTCTGTGTGCTGAACGGTCTGTCTGTCTGTCTGAACGGTCTGTCTGTCTGTCTGAACGGTGTCTGTCTGACTCTGTCTGTCTGAACGGTCTGTCTGTCTGTCTGAACGGTCTGTCTGTCTGTCTGAACGGTCTGTCTGTCTGTCTGAACGGTCTGTCTGTCTGTCTGAACAGTCTGTCTGTCTGTCTGAACAGTCTGTCTGTCTGTTTGAACAGTCTGTCTGTCTGAACAGTCTGTCTGTCTGTCTGAACGGCTGTACTGTCTTGAACAGTCCTGTCTGTCTGAACGTCCTGTCTGTTTTCTGAACAGTCTGTCTGTCTGAACGGTCTGTTGTCTGAGTCTGTAACGTCTTCTGTGTCTGACTCTGTCTGTTGAACGGTCTGTCTGTATGTCTGAACGGTCTGTCTGTCTGTCTGAACGGTCTGTCTGTATGGTCTGAACGGTCTGTCTGTCTGTCTGAACGGTCTGTCTGTCTGTCTGAACGGTCTGTCTGTATGTCTGAACGGTCTGTCTGTATGTCTGAACAGTCTGTCTGTATGTCTGAACAGCCTGTCTGTCTGAACATTCTGTCTGTCTGTCTGAACAGTCTGTCTGTCTGTCTGTCTGTCTGAACGGTCTGTCTGTCTGTCTGAACAGTCTGTTTGTCTGTCTGAACAGTCTGTCTGTCTGTCTGTCTGAACAGTCTGTCTGTCTGAACAGTCTGTCTGTCTGTCTGTCTGAACGGTCTGTCTGTATGTCTGAACGGCCTGTCTGTCTGAACGGTCTGTCTGTCTGTCTGAACGGTCTGTCTGTCTGTCTGAACGGTCTGTCTGTACGGTCTGTCTGTCTGTCTGAACAGTCTGTCTGTCTGTTTGAACAGTCTGTCTGTCTGAACAGTCTGTCTGTCTGTCTGAACGGCCTGTCTGTCTGAACAGCCTGTCTGTCTGAACGGCCTGTCTGTCTGAACAGTCTGTCTGTCTGAACGGTCTGTCTGTATGTCTGAACGGTCTGTCTGTCTGTCTGAACGGTCTGTCTGTATGTCTGAACGGTCTGTCTGTCTGTCTGAACGGTCTGTCTGTATGTCTGAACGGTCTGTCTGTATGTCTGAACAGTCTGTCTGTATGTCTGAACAGCCTGTCTGTCTGAACATTCTGTCTGTCTGTCTGAACAGTCTGTCTGTCTGTTTGTCTGTCTGAACAGTCTGTCTGTCTGTCTGAACAGTCTGTCTGTCTGAACAGTCTGTCTGTCTGTCTGAACAGTCTGTCTGTCTGTCTGAACGGCCTGTCTGTCTGAACAGCCTGTCTGTCTGAACGGCCTGTCTGTCTGAACAACCTGTCTGTCTGAACGGTCTGTCTGTCTGTCTGAACGGTCTGTCTGAACGGTCTGTCTGTATGTCTGAACGGTCTGTCTGTATGTCTGAACGGTCTGTCTGTATGTCTGAACAGTCTGTCTGTCTGTCTGTCTGAACAGTCTGTCTGTCTGTCTGTCTGAACGGTCTGTCTGTCTGTATGTCTGAACGGTCTGTCTGTTTGTCTGAACGGTCTGTCTGTCTGTCTGTCTGTCTGTCTGTCTGAACAGTCTGTCTGTCTATCTGAACGGTCTGTCTGTATGTCTGAACGGTCTGTCTGTATGTCTGAACAGTCTGTCTGTCTGTCTGTCTGAACAGTCTGTCTGTCTGTCTGTCTGTCTGAACAGTCTGTCTGTCTGTCTGAACGGTCTGTCTGTCTGAACGGTCTGTCTGTCTGAACGGTCTGTCTGAACAGTCTGTCTGTATGTCTGAACAGTCTGTCTGTCTGTCTGAACAGTCTGTCTGTCTGTCTGAACAGTCTGTCTGTCTGTCTGAACGGTCTGTCTGTCTGTATGTCTGAACGGTCTGTCTGTATGTCTGAACGGTCTGTCTGTATGTCTGAACAGTCTGTCTGTCTGTCTGTCTGTCTGTCTGTCTGTCTGTCTGTCTCAGACCCATATAGGGATGGTTCTGCTTTGTTAGACCCTAGTGCTGGTGGAAAGTCTAATTCTCCCTATCCTATGCATTCAACATCCCAGCTCAAGCTTGGCTGGTATGGCCCATTGAGATGGCCTATGGACAGGTGCAGGTGGACAGGTGTTTGGACAGATGTAGGCTATAACAAGTGAATGATAGGTGAGTATTACAGGTGTATGACAGGTGTATGAACTTCGACTTACCATTGAGTCCATTCGGGATGCTCCTGTGATGGTGTGGAGCTGACAGGTCATCCATGGACCTCCTCTGGAAGGTGCTGCCAAGCTTACCCTCCCTCTCCGCGGGCAGCTTGTGTATGTGGTTGTGGCTGTTGTGGTTGTGGTGGTGGTCGGGGCTACCTGCGCTCCCTGTGCTGGAGGTACTACTCCCGTCCCCGACATCCCGAACCGTCCCTGTCCCGCCATTCAGGTTGGTGAGGCTGGACTGGGAGTCTATGGAGCTCCGGGAACCGGCGCCGTTCCTATCCTCATCCAGCATGAGGATGATCTCCTTCAGGTCCGTGTTCTCGCGCACCACCCTCTCCTGGTTGGCCTCGAGCTCTTTGAGCTTCAGCTGGTAGGTACCCACCTCCTTCCACATGGCGCTCGCGGAGTACCGGCCAAACCGCTGCCACTCCCGGGACAGCTTCTTGCCCTTCTGCCGGTCATCGTCCAGGAAGCAGCAGAGCTCGCGCAGCTCGTTGTTGTCGTCCTGGAGCTTCTGGTTGATTTCCTTCAGGTTGCGGATCTCGTGCAGGTGAACCTGCAGCCTCCGGTTAACGTCTTTCATCATGTTGCCGTGCTCGATCATTAGGTTCATCTTCTCGTTGTCCACCCTCCGTAGCCGCTTGACCAGCTCCTCCTTGCCGCATCGCAGCAGCTCTTCATCCGGTAGCTGATTCAGGTCTGGCTCCTTGGGTCCCTCCGACGGGTTTTTAGCCATGTCTCCCTGCAGTCTGTGCTCTCTCCTCGGTCAGATATAACGTGAAGGCAGTAAGCTGGATGTTTAGGATAAACTAACCGAGTCTCAATTGAGGAATTGTATTGAAATGTGAATACATGATACGGACATAATGCTAAAGGTGGCACCTCGGATCGAAAAGTTAAATTAATCAAATGAAAATGCGATGTTGGCTATGGCAACCATTCAGAAGAGGCTGCATGCAGTACACCCTCATTTGTCGTAAAAAAAAACTCGCGGTTGGTATTTGCAATTATTCCTTATCTTTGCATTTGTTCATAAATCGTGTCTATATCGTGTAAATATTAGTAACATCCCGACCAAAACAAGTGGATGTTAACTGATCAAAGCTCCATCACTTATCCCTCGCGCTGAGAACTGTCAGAGGAACCCTCCGCATTCCAGCATTGCATGTGCAAATCCTGCTATGCACGTTGAAGAAAATATTAAGAAAAAATCCACGAAAATTAATAACAATTCTGCTACAAATCGAACATAAATATCCGTTTGGAAACGTTTTTATAAAAAAAACTAATCAATAGCACTCAATTTACTATAACCGCATGTTGCATTTCCGAGACAACAGCAACAAACGGTTTTTACAACCGACACAGTGCTCGAGCTCTTTCAAAGATAAGCCTATTTCACCGAAGTGGTGAGCGCCTGCCTGCGCAGCGGAGTGAATACCAGAGCTCGTTGGGAATTAGCACGGTCCTCCACTGAGTACACGGGCTGTAGTACGTACGTACTCGGGTTTGAAATGGTTCAAGAGGATCTCTGTCAAGACGGCCAATCAAGACGCAGGACTGAGCGTGCCCACTCTACGCAATGAATGGCACTGCCTTCTTAAAGGGCCAGTAAGGAACTTCACTTCACACGGTATGAAAGAGGAGAAAATACATGGTTTTCTTATAATAAAAAATGCATACATTTATCAATAACATTTATAAAATAGGTCTGTATTGAAAATAACAATCTGCAATTGAATTGGTCAGTTCCAGGAATTGAAATTCAACAGAATAATTGTTATGAAAATAGACCACAATTCTTTAGTATTTTATCTAAAACACAATTGTCAATTGTCAATGGTTCATTCTGAAAACTCCAGCATGATCACATCAATCATTTATATCTATGAGACCTGTTATTATCGTGTTATAAACATATTAAAACATGGTTTGGCCTATTAACCTATAGCACTATAATAAAGCTATCTCTTGCTTTTAGTCTGCTGAATGTCTCAATCCTTTTAATTGCTATGTGAAAATGATGATAGCTTTAGTCTACACTTCCTTGCCCTGGCATGTTGACCCAATTCAAACAATGGATACACTGTTTCCAAACTTTGGACTAATTACTGAAACATCAAAGCTGAGGCGAAGAGGAAAGAAATGTTACACTTGATTGAGTTTTCACAATGTAACCCATCATAAAAATCTAAGTAGCATTCTTCCGCTTGCATTCAACAGGTGTTTAAAATGACACCCATCTAGAAGAGGTCATGAGTGTAAACAAGAAAGATGCAAAACATGAACGGTCTTTATTCCGCAGGTTCACAGCGACACCTTGTGGACACATTTTTTTATACTTTTCTGGGACTCAGTGACGTTTGCAAAATTATTCTATTAAAACAGGCTACATTCACTATAACAGACGTACTGAAGTAATAACGTTGGTTAGGAAGTTCACCAAAGAAGTGAATATATACTGTTTAAAGCTCTCTACTGTATTTAATACATTGTATATTGAATATATATTGAACTGTAACGTTACTGTAATAACATAATCATTGAAAGAGACTGTGTATAAAGTAACGAGGAACACAATATAAACACTCCTATATCAAATCCATCCGACTAACCATGATCATCATACACCCATTACATTCAAAATATCACTTCACTATAAAAAATTATATATATATATATATATATATATATATAATAATTTAAAGAAAAATATATATGTATACGGTACCAGTCAAAAGTTTGGACACACCTACTCATTCCAGGGTTTTTCTTTATTTGTACTATTTTCTACATTGTAGAATAAAAGTGAAGACATCAAAACTCTGAAATGACACATATGGAATCATGTAGTAACTAAGAAAGTGTTAAACAAATCAAAATATATTTTATATTTGAGATTCTTCAAATAGCCACCCTTTGCCTTGATAACAGCTTTGCACACTCTTGGATCTCTCAACCAGCTTCAACTGGAATGCTTTTCCAACAGTCTTGAAGGAGTTCCCACATATGCTTTGCACTTGTTGGCTGCTTTTCCTTCACTCTGTGGTCCGACTCATCCCAAACCATCTCAATTGGGTTGAGGTTGGGTGATTGTGGAGGCCAGGTCATCTGATGCAGCACTCCATCACTCTCCTTCTAGGTCAAATAGCCCTTACACAGCCTGGAGGTGTGTTGTGTCATTGTCCTTTTGAAAACAAGTGATAGTCCCACTAAGCACAAACCAGATGGGAATGCTGTGGTAGCCATGCTGGTTAAGTTTTCCTTGAATTCTAAATAAATCACTGACAGAGTCACCAGCAAATTACCCCCACACCATCAAAATTCCTCCTCCATGCTTCATGGTGGGAACCACACATGGAGATCATCCATTCACCTACTCCGCGTCTCACAAAGACACGGCGGTTGAAACCAAAAATCTCAAATTTGGACTCCAGACCAAAGGACAGATTTCCACTGGTCTAATGTCCATTGTTCATGTTTCTTGGCCCAAGCAAGTCTCTTCTTATTATTGGTGTCCTTTAGTAGTGGTTTCTTTGCAGCAATTCGACCATGAAAGCCAGATTCACGCAGTCTCCTCTGAAGAGTTGATGTTGAGATGTGTCTGTTACTTGAATTCTGTGAAGCATTTATTTGGGCTGCAATTTCTGAGGCTGGTAACTCTAATGAACTTATCCTCTGCAGCAGAGGTGACTCTGGGTCTTCCATTCCTGTGGCGGTCCTCATTAAAGCCAGTTTCATCATAGCGCTTGATGGTTTTTGCGACTGCACTTGAAGAAACTTTCAAAGTTCTTGAAATTTTCCGGATTGACTGACCTTCATGTCTTAAAGTAATGATGGACTATCGTTTCTCTTTGCTTCTTTTTTTTAACCTTTATTTAACTAGGAAAGTCAGTTAAGAACAAATTCTTATTTACAATGACGGCCAACACCGGCCAAACCCGGACGACACTGTGCGTCGCCCTATGAGACTCCCAATCACGGCTGGTTGTGATACAGCCTGGAATCGAACCGAGGGTCTGTAGTGACGCCTCAAGCACTGAGATGCAGTGCCTTAGACCACTGCGCCACTCAGGAGCTGTTCTTGCCATAATATGGACTTGGCCTTTTACCAAATAGGTCTATCTTCTGTACACCACCCCTAACTTGTCACAACACAACTGATTGGCTCAAACGCATTAAGAAGGAAAGAAATTCCACAAATTAACTTTTAACAAGGCACACCTGTTAATTGAAATGCATTCCAGGTGACTACCTCATGAAGCTGGTTGAGAGAATGCCAAGAGTGTGCAAAGCTGTCAGCAAGGCAAAGGGTGGCTACTTTGAAGAATCTCAAATATAAAATATATTTTGATTTGTTTAACACTGTTTTGGTTACTACATGATTCCATATGTGTTATTTCATAGTTTTGATGTCTTAACTATTATTCTACAGTGTAGAAAATAGTGAAAATAAAGAAAACCCTGGAATGAGTAGGTGTGTCCAAACTTTTGACTGGTAGTGTATATATATATATATACAGTGAGGGAAAAAAGTATTTGATCCCCTGCTGATTTTGTACGTTTGCCCACTGACAAAGAAATTATCAGTCTATAATTTTAATGGTAGGTTTATTTGAACAGTGAGAGACAGAATAACAACAAAAAAAATCCAGAAAAACGCATGTCAAAAATGTTATAAATTGATTTGCATTTTAATGAGGGAAATAAGTATTTGACCCCTATGCAAAACATGACTTAGTACTTGGTGGCAAAACCCTTGTTGGCAATCACAGAGGTCAGACGTTTCTTGTAGTTGGCCACCTGGTTTGCACACAACTCAGGAGGGATTTTGTCCAACTCCTCTTTGCAGATCTTCTCCAAGTCATTAAGGCTTCGAAGCTGACGTTTGGCAACTCGAACCTTCAGCTCCCTCAACAGATTTTCTATGGGATTAAGGTCTGGAGACTGGCTAGGCCACTCCAGGACCTTAATGTGCTTCTTCTTGAGCCACTCCTTTGTTGCCTTGGCCGTGTGTTTTGGGTCATTGTCATGCTGGAATACCCATCCATGACCCATTTTCAATGCCCTGGCTGAGGGAAGGAGGTTCTCACCCAAGATTTGACGGTACATGGCCCCGTCCATCGTCCCTTTGATGCGGTGAAGTTGTCCTGTCCCCTTAGCAGAAAAACACCCCTCTCACTGTTCAAATAAACCTACCATTAAAATTATAGACTGATCATGTCTATTTCAGTGGGCAAACGTACAAAATCAGCAGGGATCAAATACTTTTTTCCCTCACTGTATATATATATATATATATATATAGAACAAAAGTATAAACGCAACATGTAAAGTGTTGGTCCCATGTTTTATGAGCTAAAACAAAAGATCCCAGAAATTTTCCATATGCAAAAAAAAGCTTATTTCTCTAAAATGTTGTGCAGAAATTTGTTTACATCCCTGTTAGTGAGCATTTCTCTTTTGCCAAGATAATCCATCCACCTGACAGGTGTGGCATATCAAGAAGCTGATTGAACAGCATGATCATTACACAGGTGCACCTTGCGCTGGGACAATAAAAGGCCACTCTTAAATGTACAGTTTTGTCACACAACACAATGCCACAGATGTATTAAGTTTTGAGGGAGCGTGCAATTGGCTTACTGACTACAGGATTGTCCATCAGAGCTTTTGCCAGATAATTGAATGTTAATTTCTCTACCATAAGCCGCTCCCAACATTGTTTTAGAGAATTTGGCAGTACGTCCAAATGGCCTCATAACCGCAGAACACGTGTAACCACGCAAGCCCAGGACCTCCACAACCGGCTTCTTCACCTGCGGGATCGTCTGAGACCAGCCACCCGGACAGCTGATGAAACTGAGGAGTATTTAGTTGGGGAAAACTTATTCTGATTGGCTGGGCCTGGCTCCCCAGTGGGTGGGCCTATGCCCTCCCAGGCCCACCCATGGCTGCGCCCCTGCCCAGTCATGTAAAATCCATAGATTAGGGCCTAATCCTTATATGAACTATCACTCAGTAAATTTGTTGGAAAGGTTGCATGTTGCATTTATATTTTTGTTCAGAATACATGCAAATATATGCGCAAGATTGGTAAAACATTGATGATGTGTTAATCTTTTTTTTTTTTTTAAGACAATAAAGTTGAAAGACGGAATGAGTCGGATAAGAAATATGTTTGAGTTGAAAGACAAGGGCTAGTCATATCCAGGTTCCAGCAGTCAGGCTGCATGTGTTTGTCCTCGGTATCTGATGTTACACACCACTCCACTCTTTGGTCTCAGAGTGCCAGTGTCCAGGATGTCAAAGGACTGGCCAGGCAGCAGGCTGAAATCAAACCTCTGGAGCAACTTGGCCATCACTACCTTCACCTCTATCTGCAAACAACAGAACGAATCTGGTGTGAGCGTGCGCGCGCGTGTGTGTGTGTGTGTGTGTGTACATGCGTGCGTGCTCCTGTGTGTGTCTCACCTGTGCGAAGCTCTGTCCCAGACATGAGCGTGGTCCCAGGGCGAAGGGGAAGTAACAGTAATAGGGTCTTCAGGACAGAAACAAACACAGCCTCCATAACATGTCAGTTAGATCTTAATCCGTTCAAATGTTGTAAAGAAACAATAAAACCATATTGGGTCACTTACTTGGCAGCGTCTGGATGGAACCTCTCTGGGTCAAACTTCAGCGGCTCCTCAAAGAACTTATCCAGCCGTCCACAGATGTACGAATTGAACTATGAACAGACAAGACAGGGGCAAACATAAAAGATGTGAGACAGCGGCAGATACCGCAATTCAGGAAATAGAGTAGAGTACAGTAGAGGAACACCAAAATAGTCGATGAGGTGCTGACTAACAGAAAATATAAGCTTGAGAAAAATTCTACATCTATCCATTAAATATTTGGGAGTATATTGAGGTACCAAAGCAAATTAGACATGTACTATTTTTTTTACTGAACTTTTTTTTGGGGGGTGGGTAGATCAGTTTTAATATTGCAGATAGATTGTGGGTTCTATCAATGTAATTGACTGCATCATTTCCAATCCCCCATTCAGAGGAGGGGTGGTAGGGTTAGGGGAAAATAGTAAAGAAGGAAAAAATATTTTAAAATATATATATATTTAAAATATATATATTTTTAAATATCTTTTCCTTCTTTACTATTTTCCCCTAACCCTACCACCCCTCCTCTAATTGGAGTAAACTAATGGACAACAATACTTAGGCTTCTACTTCCAGCTTATACAGTATATACTACATACATTTCACAGACAGTATTTTTTACATTAGTTATCTTTTGTTTGTTGTTAGTCCCAGTCTTCAGCTCCACTCAACCCCTGCCATCTATCTCTGAAGACCATCCAGTTTTGATTTCTAGCTGCCATATATATTTTCCACTGTGCTGTGATGTTTCACAATATGAACAAATATTACAAAAACACTTGACAGTGGTGTTGAGGTAACTCACGAAGCATGTGACTCCAGCAGGGATGGGGATACCGTTGATGGTGATGTCATTGGGGATGAAGCGAGACGTCCCGGGAGCCGTGGGATACAACCTCAGAGTCTCCTTCAACACCTGACGGTTAGATAGATCATCAAACACAACATGTTGAGTTACCTGGCCTGAGACCTGAGGACTTGTGTTAGCTCCCCGAGCTAACGCTTTGGCTTTAGCTCAGTGGACTAATACAATTTAGAGGCATTGTGGTACACAGATGATCCGGGTTAAAACCCGGTTTGTCACAACTTGCTTTTTCTTTAGGGGGTAGATCAGCTTTAATATTACAGATAGATTGTGGGTTCTATCAATGTAATTGTCTGCATCATTTATTGTAAATATATATATATATATATATATATATATATATACAGTGGGGGGGAAAAGTATTTAGTCAGCCACCAATTGTGCAAGTTCTCCTACTTAAAAAGATGAGAGAGGCCTGTAATTTTGATCATAGGTACACGTCAACTACGACAGACAAAATGAGAAAAAAAGTCCAGAAAATCACATTGTAGAATTTTTAATGAATTTATTTGCAAATAATGGTGGAAAATAAGTATTTGGTCAATAACAAAAGTTTCTCAATACTTTGTTATATACCCTTTGTTGGCAATGACACAGGTCAAACATTTTCTGTAAGTCTTCACAAGGTTATCACACACTGTTGCTGGTATTTTGGCCCATTCCTCCATGCAGATCTCCTCTAGAGCAGTGATGTTTTGGGGCTGTCGCTGGGCAACACGGACTTTCAACTCACTCCAAAGATTTTCTATGGGGTTGAGATCTGGAGACTGGCTAGGCCACTCCAGGACCTTGAAATGCTTCTTACGAAGCCACTCCTTCGTTGCCCGGGCGGTGTGTTTGGGATCATTGTCATGCTGAAAGACCAAGCCACATTTCATCTTCAATGCCCTTGCTGATGGAAGGAGGTTTTCACTCAAAATCTCACGATACATGGCCCCATTCATTCTTTCCTTTACACGGATCAGTCGTCCTGGTCCCTTTGCAGAAAAACAGCCCCAAAGCATGATGTTTCCACCCCCATGCTTCACAGTAGGTATGGTGTTCTTTGGATGCAACTCAGCATTCTTTGTCCTCCAAACACGACGAGTTGAGTTTTTACCAAAAAGTTATATTTTGGTTTCATCTGACAATATGACATTCTCCCAATCCTCTTCTGGATCATCCAAATGCACTCTAGCAAACTTTAGACGGGCCTGGACATGTACTGGCTTATGCAGGGGGACACGTCTGGCACTGCAGGATTTGAGTCCCTGGCGGCGTAGTGTGTTACTGATGGTAGGCTTTGTTACTTTGGTCCCAGCTCTCTGCAGGTCATTCACTAGGTCCCCCCGTGTGGTTCTGGGATTTTTGCTCACCGTTCTTGTGATCATTTTGACCCCACGGGGTGAGATCTTGCGTGGAGCCCCAGATCGAGGGTGATTATCAGTGGTCTTGTATGTCTTCCATTTCCTAATAATTGCTCCCACAGTTGATTTCTTCAAACCAAGCTGCTTACCTATTGCAGATTCAGTCTTCCCAGCCTGGTGCAGGTCTACAATTTTGTTTCTGGTGTCCTTTGACAGCTCTTTGGTCTTGGCCATAGTGGAGTTTGGAGTGTGACTGTTTGAGGTTGTGGACAGGTGTCTTTTATACTGATAACAAGTTAAAACAGGTGCCATTAATACAGGTAACGAGTGGAGGACAGAGGAGCCTCTTAAAGAAGAAGTTACAGGTCTGTGAGAGCCAGAAATCTTGCTTGTTTGTAGGTGACCAAATACTTATTTTCCACCATAATTTGCAAATAAATTCATTAAAAATCCTACAATGTGATTTTCTGGATTTTTTTTTCTCTATTTGTCTGTCATAGTTGACGTGTACCTATGATGAAAATTACAGGCCTCTCTCATCTTTTTAAGTGGGAGAACTTGCACAATTGGTGGCTGACTAAATACTTTTTTTCCCCACTGTATATATATATATATATATATATATACAGTTGAAGTCAGAAGTTTACATACACCTCAGCCAAATACATTTAAACTCAGTTTTTCACAATTCCTGACATTTAATCCTAGTAAAAATTCCGTCTTAGGATAGGATCAACACTTTATTTTAAGAATGTGAAATGTCAGAATAATAGTAGAGAGAATGATTTATTTCAGCTTTTATTTATTTCATCACATTCCCAGTGGGTCAGAAGTTAGTATTTGGTAGCATTGCCTTTAAATTGTTTAACTTGGGTCAAACGTTTCGGGTAGCCTTCCACAAGCTTCCCACAATAAGTTGGGTGAATTTTGGCCCATTCCTCCTGACAGAGCTGGTGTAACTGAGTCAGGTTTGTAGGCCTCCTTGCTCGCACCTGCTTTTTCAGTTCTGCCCACAAATGTTCTATAGGATTGAGGTCAGGGCTTTGTGATGGCCACTCCAATACCTTGACTTTGTTGCCCTTAAGCCATTTTGCCACAACTTTGGAAGTATGCTTGGGGTCATTGTCCATTTGGAAGACCCATTTGCAACCAAGCTTTAACTTCCGGACTGATGTCTTGAGATGTTGCTTCAATATATCCACATAATTTTCCTTCCTCATGATGCCATCTATTTTGTGAAGTGCACCAGTCCCTCCTGCAGCAAAGCACCCCCACAGCATGATGCTGCCACCCCCGTGCTTTACGGTGGGATGGTGTTCTTCAGCTTGCAAGTAACCCCCTTTTTCCTCCAAACATAACGATGGTCATTATGGCCAAACAGTTCTATTTTTGTTTCATCAGACCAGAGGACATTTCTCCAAAAAGTACGATCTTTGTCCACATGTGCAGTTGCAAACCGTAGTCTGGCTTTTTTATGGCGGTTTTGGAGCAGTGGCTTCTTCCTTGCTGAGTGGCCTTTCAGGTTATGTCGATATAGGACTCGTTTTACTGTGGATATAGATACTTTTGTACCTGTTTCCTCTAGCATCTTCACAATGTCCTTTGCTGTTGTTCTGGGATTGATTTGCACTTTTCGCACCAAAGTACATTCATCTCTAGGAGACAGAACGCGTCTCCTTCCTGAGCGGTATGACGGCTGCGTGGTCCCATGGTGTTTATACTTGCATACTATTGTTTGTACAGATGAACGTGGTACCTTCAGGCATTTGGAAATTGCTCCCAAGGATGAACCAGACTTGTGGAGGTCTACAATTTTGTTTCTGAGGTCTTGGCTGATTTCTTTTGATTTTCCCATGATGTCAAGTAAAGAGGCACTGAGTTTGAAGGTAGGCCTTGAAATACATCCACAGGTACACCTCCAATTGACTCAAATGATGTCAGAAGCTTCTAAAGCCATGACATCATTTTCTGGAATTTTCCAAGCTGTTTAAAGGCACAGTCAACTTAGTGTATGTAAACTTCTGACCCACTGGAATTGTGATACAGTGAATTATAAGTGAAATAATCTGTCTGTAAACAATTGTTGGAAAAATTACTTGTGTCATGCACAAATTAGACGTCCTAACCGACTTGCCAAAACTATAGTTTGTTAACAAGAAATGTGTGGAGTGGTTGAAAAATGAGTTTTAATGACTCCAACCTAAGTGTATTTAAATTTCTGACTTCAACTGTATATATATATATATATATATATATATATATATATATATATATATATATATATATATATTATTTTAAATAAATATATTTTAAAATATATTTTCCTTCTTTATTATTTTCCCCTAACCCTAGCATTAGTTATATTTTGTTTGTTTTTAGTCCCAGCCTTCAGCTTCCCTCATCCCCTCCCATCTATCTCTGAACACCATCCAGTTTCGATTTCTAGCTGCCATATTTTTTTCTAAAATGTTTCACAAAAGTTCTGAACCTAAAGATAAACACCTTTGCTAAGAGTTTTATTATTTTATTGATCGATTAACTATGACTTTTCAAATCACCCAGCAGTGCTATTTGCAGAGTTAGCACTAACTAAATGTTGCAATTTTTCAGCCATTCCTGAACCTGCGACCAAAAACAAGCTACATATGGGCAGTACCAAAACAAGTGATCTAATGATTCTGTCACAACTACAGTTAATATAGTATAAAAACTATCAATTAAGTCACCGTACCTGAGACAGGTAGGTCATTTTCCCCAGGTCGTCAAAGCTGATTTCCTGTTTCATCCCGATGACATCATCCACTTCTTGCTTCACTCTGGAGAAGTTACAGACACTCAGAAACTCAACCAAAGTATTTTGTATTATGGAAATGATCAATAAACAAAAAGAGGTATGATGAAGACCTACTTTGCCAATATCTCTGGCAGCCTTCCCAGTTCCATGACGGCAAAAGCTAGTTGATTGGCTGTTGTCTCTTGCCCTTTCAAGAGGAAAACAGCACAGTAAAGGATGTTAAGGTAACTCTAGCTGCTGAATCTTTAATTGTGTGGGGAATTTTTTTTATGGAGACCCACCCGCAATGAATAACGTTACAAAGTTGTCCAGCATAAGCTCCTCATCTTCACTTCCTGTGTTTTCTTCTGAAATGATGAATATATACAAGTTTACAGCATTGAGACAATAGTGCTACTGAACCTCATCAATAACATGACTGTTTTAGCTCACAATGTCACATGCAGAGCCACAAAGTAAAAGGTCTCCAATGTTAGCCTGGACCCAGATCTGTTTGTGCTGTCTTGTCTTGCAAACTCTAGGAGTTGGCAAGACAGCGCAAACAGATCTGGGACCAGGCTACTACAACGTGCCTTTGCCAGCCGTCTTGAGGATCTGTGTCAGGATATCTTTAGGAACATCCTCGCCATTTTGGATGTCCATTTTCCTCTTGTTGATCCACTGTCTGCCTGTAGTACGCAGTAGCTGAACAGACTTCTTCACCTCGTTGATGAACTTCTTGTTCTTTGGGTAGAGCTAATATGACATTCAACAAAATGTAATTATTAGATTAGGGAAATATGGAATTTGACCATATTTATAGCCCATCCAGGGACTGATGCTATACATTTTATGAAGCATTATGGAGCATTACATCTGTCTGTTGATGATTCAGTGTGCCAATGTGTTAACTGTATGTGTGCTTATAAAATAAATACATTAAGGATGCCATCCACGGCCGGCTCTACGGTGTGGCAAAGCCGGACATTGACCCCACTGATAGAATTTGTGCCCCCCCCCCCCCCCCCCCCAGTTTTCTTTCCCCATAAACAAAACAAATGGTATATGAATTACCCTGCCCGGTTTTGCCAATGCAGTGCTGCTGGGCCTACCACTAGCGCAGACCGGGACAGATTGTAGTTTTGGGAACAGCAAACTGTATAGAGATCAAATGTTTCATCAGTGAGAAAATTAGTAGAATGTTGGCCAAAATCTATCTCGTTCCATCTTCTCCCACTGCCGGCCACTGGGCTTCCTCTCACTACCATATTTGGTAGTGAGTGGAAACGCCAAGTGGATGCTTCACAATTATACATCCGGTGAAATATCTGTCTCATTGTTCTATCTGTGGTTAAGGTGTTTGGGGTTTTCGTCACTGGTTATTTGGACGTATCAGGATTCGGTAAAGGCAGTGCTTCGCTTCACACAGATCAGAAGGGGGAGGCTGAACATTTCCTTTTGCAACTCTCAATTTCTAACACATATAGACCAAGAAACCCCAAATTACGCAAGATTTTAGTTCTGGGTTAACCAAGATTATGTCACTATTTACCTGGAAGGTGGGGTCTCTGAAATAGTGGACCATTCCCTTCAGACACATCTCTATGGCTTTGGGGAACGGAGTGTCACTCTCCTTCAGCAGATCCAGATCCACTCCAAATGCCACCTACAGGTAAAGTAGAAAAACAAATTAACAACAATGATGATGATGCATTTATTATGAGCGCCTTTCATGTTTCAAATACAGTTTATTAGCATGTCATAATAACACCTGACCACCAGGGGACAACTCTGAGTCCTAGTTACACATTATAATGGCTACCTCACTGGCTTTGCTCCCTAACAGCTAGACTACAGCCTAACTTGCATAAGAACTGTGTAAATCAGTTGTCATAACCTGAAAATGTATCATTATGACTGGTTTTCCTGTTTGTCATATCATGAAGACAGCTTTATGTGAAATATTAAACTGGTAGGGGGATTGTGTTGATCTGGAGGTAACAAGAAGGACCATTCGTTACCTTGGTGATGACATCAAGGGTCACACAGTTGAACATGTGGTGCATGTTGGCGGCTGTGTTGGTGTCAGCCATGTCCGCCAGTTTATCCATCAGACGCTCTGCCCTCTCGTTAAATGTACCCATCTGACCCCGCAGGTACCTAGCAATACACAGCATGATGGAAGGATAAATTGATGGATGGATGGATTGATGGATAGGTGGGAGGGTGGGTGGGTGGATTGGTTGACTGGCAGACAGACAGACAGACAGACAGACAGACAGACAGACAGACAGACAGACAGACAGACAGACAGACAGACAGACAAACAGATCCATTGATCAATTGATTATTACATCATGTGAAATAGATAAGTAACTTACAGACTGCTGAAGGCAGGGTCCATGATCCTTCGCTGTTTGTACCACACATCATGATCATGAGCCGTAATCAGACCCCTTCCCAGAAACCTACGGAAAAGCAGGACTGCAGAGTATTTACCCTGACACTGAATAAACTGATCAATGACCAAGGGGTCCAGTTTTAATATCTAGGCAGCTTTAATGTAAGTCAGACAGCATTCAGATTGAATGTATTGGAAAAGATTGTACCGACCGAAACGTCAACACAATAAAAAAAATGCAGATGTAATGGTATGAGGTCGGTGGCAGTAATTGTTATATGTTGATATAGCACAAATGACACAACATATTCAGGAATCACCTCTCTCCAAATAGCTCGAAAAGACCCTTGTATACCAGTGAGTCTTTGGGGTACTTTGGTGACATGAGCACCTCCTGTGACGAGAAAGCAAAATGTCTGTTTAGTTTGTGGGCGAAATGGGCACTTTATTTTAGGGTACAGTACAGACTGAAATCACTGGGTATTTTCTTTGTAAAATAGTACAAAGAAATGGACAGATGCTTAACTTCTTCCTTTAAACCAGATGTGTGAAATATTCAGGCACAGGTTTACCTTGGTGGTATCAGGGCAGGTGACAAACAGCATCACAATGTGCATACTGTTGATACGGTACACCGGTCCATATGTCTCAGACCTGTCAACGATAGAATAGAATAGACTAAATAGAATATAAAATATTTGTATTGTCCCATGACAACTTGTATGTGTGTGTGTTTGTGTGTGTGTGTCTTGGCCACCATCACAACTGCTCCATAGCATTCAGCTCACCATTCCAGGAATTTGTCGTTGATAACTCCACCATTTCTAGTTTCCCTCAAGATGGTTGCGGCATGTCCGAATATAAAACTGGGGGATAACAAGAGACGTTTACGCCATAACTGACAAATAAGGACGTTATGTGAGTGATCCTTTCACCCAAGTTCACTCAGTGAAAACGCTAAAGACAGGTGAAACAGCGTCCCCTGGCGGGTGTTAAGGCTAACTTTTATCTAGTTCCCCTAATCCTTATGTAACTCAATATAGCTAGATGAAAATAACTTCTAGCTACAGTATTTAAAAGAAATGTTCAGGTTACATAATGACTTACCTATCCCTTGGTGGTCCCGGTATGTGATCATATTTCAAATGAATATATTTTATGTACAGACAAAAACAGAGAAATGCGATCAAAATCAAACCAAGTAGGCACATAAGAACATAACCAATCCAACCTGCAATCAAATAAAAAAGTGCCATATTGCAATGGACTAGTTCAAACTAGTCCTAGTTCCGACTAGTACGTGAACAGGCACTAGTAGTCTACTTGTCTGCTTTTATGGTTTACGGTGTTTGTGACAAATTTCCGGGGTCAGTGTTTATATAACGACAGGAGCTAGATTCTCCATGAGAAAACAAAACCTATCTGCACGCAACGTGACGCATTCGGCTCTATAGCTCAGTGGCAGAGCACTGGTCTTGTAAACCAGGGGTCGCGAGTTCGATCCTCGCTGGAGCCTAGATACAATCTAAATTTTGCACACATTTGACCTCTATGGGCGAACTTTTTGACACGTGTTGACTGCAAGAGTAAGAATGCTACTTAGATTTGTATGATGCTTACATTGTTTAAACCAAGTGTGAAATGTCTTCTCTGTTCAGCTTTGATGTTACTGCAGGCTAGTCAAAAGTTCAGAAACAATGAATCCATTGTTTGAATTGGGTCAAACATGCAAGTGCACAGATGTGCATAGCTATCCTCATTTTCAGATATATTTAGTCAACATTTCCGTTTTTTTCAGGCTTTACTTTGGTGCTACAATAACATGTTAATAAACCTAATCATGTTTATAACATGTATACTGTATAACATGATAATAACAGGTCTGAGAGATGATAGACGTGATCATGCTGGAGTTTTGAGTCTCTTGTGGGGTGAGTTGCAAGGAGTACAGTTAAAAAACGAAGTTATTGAACGAAGGGAAAAGTTAGGCTTAAAAGCTTTGTTCTAACTTCCAGCTTAAACGAGACAAGAGAATATGACTCATGTGAATATACTGGGTGCCAGATAGCCTGGGCCTAACTGATGTGTCACATATACTGTAAAAACTGCTCATGCATTTCCCTCTAATAGAGTATTAAGGAGAAGTGAATTATAATATCACATGTCTCTGAACTTCTAATCGAGTTACACCTCCATATCCTCTCATCCACAGTTAGGCCTGTGTGTGTGTGTGTGTGTGTGTGTGTGCGTGGATCTTCTCTCTGCCCATACATTGAGTTGAGATCTCATCTGCTCCGATGAAGAGGCAGGAAATTCCTTCTCTGGCTCAAAATAGGATCATTGTTATGCCAGCCAGGCATAGAATGGTGTAGGTAGAGCTCACCAAACCCACTCTTCACTGACTAAAAAACCCTATCTATCCCTCTCGATTGGAGAGCAGAGCGGGCATCCCTCAGAAATACAATTTACACTCCTTATTTCCAGTGGCTTATGGGTAATTCAAGGGTATTTGTGGGAATCAACGGATATCAAATGAGTTTAAAATAGCAATTCACCGTAGAGGAGGAGGAAGCAGCGACACAGATGAACATTGTAAATCAATAAAGGTGTTTCACTTTTTGTGATTCTTCAAGGGAATAAAGAACATCAGACAAAGTCTCTCATTGTTCCAGAAGACAGGATATCTGTTTCAAAATCAAACCTGTAGCCTTTCTACGTCAGGTCATGATTGGTTATGTAAATACAATTATCATCCCTGCTGAGGATAAAATCTATTTTAATATATTTAATAGATCTGTCAGAAGACAGAACAGCCAGTCCAGGTAAAACAGAAGTACAGGGTTTTCAGATCAGTATGAATAAAGGACAGGAGAGGAGGACGCCTCTGTAGACTATTGAGATGCAGCCCATGGCTCAGAGATGTATTAAGGTATGTCCAACAGAGGAAGCCTCTCTAGACAATTGAGATGCAGCCCATGGCTCAGAGATGTATTAAGGTATGTCCAACAGAGGAAGCCTCTCTAGACAATTGAGATGCAGCCCATGGCTCAGAGATGTATTAAGGTATGTCCAACAGAGGAAGCCTCTCTAGACAATTGAGATGCAGCCCATGGCTCAGAGATGTATTAAAGTATGTCCAACAGAGGAAGCCTCTCTAGACAATTGAGATGCAGCCCATGGCTCAGAGATGTATTAAGGTATGTCCAACAGAGGAAGTCTCTCTAGACAATTGAGATACAGCCCATGGCTCAGAGATGTATTAAGGTATGTCCAACAGAGGAAGCCTCTCTAGACAATTGAGATACAGCCCATGGCTCAGAGATGTATTGAGGTATGTCCAACAGCAGGGGGCACTCTATGTTCCGTTTGGAAGTTCCTTCCTTCCTGATGTCATGCTGAGGGCCTTTGCACTGCCTCACTTACATGGGCTAGTTAGGGCAGTGATTCTCAACTAGGGGTGCTACTACCTAGGAGGTACTTCAGAAGACTCATGAGACCATAGGCTTACTGGTAAAATGCTCATTAGGGGGTACTTCAGGGTTACTCCGGACAGAGCAACATGTACCTGGTGGTTCAGTAACCAAAGCTATGGAATATGATTAAGTTGCTCTTAGATCTAAGGTCAGTTTTGCAATCACACAATTTCAAGCAATGTGTAACCTCGTCCCCAGGCTCAATTGAGAGAGAACTGGCTGGTAGACGAGATTAACCAATCAGTTATAACCATTTATCAACCCTTTATAAAGCCTTTACAACCTCCCATAAAGGGGACATTCATGTAAAATGTAACAAATTAGAGATAGCAGATTTCACCTTTCTGAGAAACTGTTTGTGTGGCGAAACATCAATGATTGCCCAAACGGGCTACTGGGTAGATACAATTAAATCCAAAAGGGCGTCACCTTCACCTACTAAATCTCATCCTCCTCTTTGACAACTTCATACCTGTACAAAATGTTACCAATAACTTCAGTAGTTAGCTTTCTTTATTTTTCAGAGAAAAAAATGAGGAATCATATTTTTGGACTGGTCTTGGTCCTTGGCTCAGGTTAAGGCTGTAAGCACCAGGGGCTAGGAGGCTGTTTGATGCTGTTGTTATTATGGCTGGCTCTCTGCCGTCCCACTAGCATCACTAGGCTAGCTTCTCTTCTTCAGGCAACGCTGGGGCTGAGGCTGGGGCTGGGGCTGGGGCTGGGGCTGGGGCTGGGGCTGGGGCTGGGGCTGGGGCTGGGGCTGAGGCTGGGGCTGGGGCTGAGGCTGGGGCTGAGGCTGGGGCTGAGGGCTGAGGCTGGGGCTGGGGCTGAGGCTGGGGCTGAGGCTGAGGCTGGGGCTGGGGCTGAGGCTGAGGCTGAGGCTGGGGCTGGGGCTGGGGCTGGGGCTGAGGCTGGGGCTGGGGCTGGGGCTGGGGCTGAGGCTGGGGCTGGGGCTGGGGCTGAGGCTGGGGCTGGGGCTGAGGGCTGGGGCTGGGGCTGGGGCTGAGGCTGGGGCTGGGGCTGAGGCTGGGCTGAGGCTGGGGCTGGGGCTGGGGCTGGGGGCTGAGGCTGGGGCTGGGGCTGGGGCTGGGGCTGAGGCTGGGGCTGGGGCTGGGGCTGAGGCTGAGGCTGGGGCTGAGGCTGGGGCTGGGGCTGAGGCTGGGGCTGAGGCTGGGGCTGAGGCTGGGGCTGGGGCTGGGGCTGGGGCTGAGGCTGCTGAGGCTGAGGCTGGGGCTGGGGCTGGGCTGGGCTGAGGCTGGGGCTAGTGGGCTGGGGCTGGGGCTGGGGCTGAGGCTGGGCTGGGGCTGGGGCTGGGGCTGAGGCTGGGGCTGGCTGGGCTGGGGCTGGGGCTGGGGCTGGGGCTGAGGCTGGGGCTGGGGCTGGTGGCTGGGGCTGGGGCTGGGGCTGGGCTGGGGCTGGGGCTGGGGCTGGGCTGGGCTGGGGCTGAGGCTGAGGCTGGGGCTGAGGCTGGGCTGGGGGCTGGGGCTGGGGCTGGGGCTGGGGCTGGGGCTGGACTGGTGAGGCTGGGGCTGAGGCTGGGGCTGAGGCTGGGGCTGAGGCTGGGGCTGGGGCTGGGGCTGAGGCTGGGGCTGAGGCTGGGGCTGGGGCTGGGACTGAGGCTGGGGCTGAGGCTGAGGCTGGGGCTGGGGCTGAGGCTAGGGCTGAGGCTGAGGCTGGGGCTGGGGCTGAGGCTGAGGCTGGGGCTGGGGCTGAGGCTGGGGGCTGAGGCTGGGGCTGGGGGCTGGGGGCTGAGGCTGGGGCTGAGGCTGGGGCTGAGGCTGAGGCTGAGGCTGGGGCTGAGGCTGAGGCTGGGGCTGGGGCTGAGGCTGGGGCTGAGGCTGAGGCTGGGGCTGAGGCTGGGGCTGAGGCTGGGGGTGGGGCTGGGGCTGAGGCTGGGGCTGAGGCTGGGGCTGAGGCTGGGGCTGGGGCTGGGGCTGGGGCTGGGGCTGGGGCTGGGGCTGGGGCTGGGGCTGGGGCTGAGGCTGAGGCTGAGGCTGGGGCTGAGACTGGGGGCTGGGGCTGGGACTGAGGCTGGGGCTGAGGCTGAGGCTGGGGCTGAGGCTGGGGCTGAGGCTAGGGCTGAGGCTGAGGCTGGGCTGGGGCTGAGGCTGGGGCTGAGGCTGGGGCTGAGGCTGGGGCTGAGGCTGGGGCTGGGGCTGGGGCTGGGGCTGAGGCTGGGGCTGAGGCTGAGGCTGAGGCTGGGGCTGAGGCTGGGGCTGAGGCTGGGGCTGAGGCTGGGGCTGGAGCTGAGGCTGACGCTGAGACTGAGGCTGAGGCTGGGGCTGAGGCTGAGGCTGGGGCTGAGGCTGGGGCTGGGGCTGGGGCTGGGACTGGGGCTGAGGCTGAGGCTGAGGCTGGGGCTGGGGCTGGGGCTGGGGCTGGGGCTGAGGCTGGGACTCATGTTGTAGGGTATTCTGTTGGCTCCTCTTGTGGGTTACATTATGCCAACAACAGACAGAGAGAAACAACAGACAGAGAGAGAGCGAGAGTGGGGGAGAGGAAAATAGATAGGCGGGGGAGAGAGAAGGAGAGAGAGAGATGAGGGAGAGAGAGAGAGGGGAGGGGAGTGAGGGAGAGACAGAGCGAGAGAGAGAGAGAGAGAGAGAGAGAGAGAGGGGAGGGGAGTGAGGGAGAGACAGAGCGAGAGAGAGAGAGAGAGAGAGAGAGAGAGAGAGAGAGAGAGAGAGAGACAGAGAGAGAGACAGAGAGAGACAGAGAGAGACAGAGGGCAACCAGTGAAGAACAAACACCATTGTAAATACAACCTATATTTATGTTTATTTATTTTCCCTTTTGTACTTTTTTGCACATCATTACAACACTGTATATAGACATAATATGACACTTGAAATGTCTTTATTATTTTGGAACTTTTGTGAGTGTAATGTTTACTGTTAATCTTTTATTGTTTACTTCACTGTTGTTTACTATCTACTTCACTTGCTTTGGTAATGTAAACATATGTTTCCCATGCCAATAAAGCCCCTTAAATTGAAATTGAAATTGAGAGAGACAGAGAGAGAGAGAGAGAGAGAGAGAGAGAGAGAGAGAGAGAGAGAGAGAGAGAGAGAGAGAGAGAGAGAGAGAGAGAGAGAGAGAGAGAGAGAGAGAGACTGACAGAGAGAGAGAGAGACTGACAGAGAGAGAGAGAGAGAGAGACAGACCGACAGAGAGACTGAAACTAAGTCTCCCACTGGAAAACAGCATCAAAACAAACCAGTCTGAATACCGTTTTTTTGGGGGGTGGAGTAGGGAGTATATTGCTGTCCGGTATAGGGATCACCGTTGCTAAAATAACGTGTTGGAATCACTCCACTGTAGTCAGTTATGCCACTATATAGGTATTATTGGATTTGATGTCAGCGCTAACCACAGCAAGCTTCCCAACTACTCTATTACTAGCACTGAAACACGCAGGACATGAGTGCATGCCGTGTGAACCTGTGCCACAAAATCAAATGGTAAGGGATGTAAAAAATACAAAAAATACATCTAAAAACAACCCCTGATTCCTGTCTTCTTCCTGTCTATCTGTTAATCTGTGATTGACTGTGCGTGACACTATGTTTGTTTGTTAATTGCATGTAAATCATAGAAAACTGTTAAGAGAGCACGTGGACCACGTTCGGAGGCATACAGACGTTTACAGGTCTCCTGGGGTTACGGATTAGCTGGAGTAGATCACTCTGAAACAAGGCCTTCTGAGTCACCGTCTCCCGTGTCATGCTCAAGATAATCTATGAGCTCCAATGACATCAATGTGATCAATTGATCTTGTGCGTGCCTGCATGCCTGTGTGTGTGGCCAGTGTATCACTCTTATATGCGGACCACAGTGTGCGTAGGGGGTTGGGGACTCTGTGGGGGATATAGCGATATCTGGAGTGTAGTGGTGGAGGGCTATGAACGAAGAGTGTGTCCATGTTTGTGTGTGTGCCTGCATACGTGTGCATGTTTGTGTGTGTGTGTGTGTGTCTTTCCATGACAGACTGACCAGGTGAATCCAGGTGAAAGCTATGATCCCTTATTGATGTAATCTGTTAAATCCACTTCAATCAGTGTAGATGAAGGGGAGGAGACAGGTTAAAGAAGGATTTTTAAGCCTTGAGACAATTGAGACATGGATTGTGTATGTGTGCAATTCAGAGGGTGAATGGGCAAGACAAAAGATTTCAGTGCCTTTGAACGGGGTATGGTAGTAGGTGCCAGGCGCACCAGTTTGTGTCAAGAACTGCAACGTTGTTGGGTTTTTCACGCTCAACAGTTTCCCTTGTGTATCAAGAATGGGGAATAGGCCTTTGTGTGGAGTACACTATAGCCTACCCTACACTGTCATGAAGTTTGCATTCACACACACCGTCTCTTTACATGGATAGAGTGGTGTGAAAGTAGCCTGTCAGCACCTTGACACATCTCGTATTGATGTGTGACACCTTTTAATTTGTTGGCTGGCTTTTAATCCATGTAATAGTCTACCAGTCTCCTCTCCCTTTATGTGCATGCCAATTTTCAGTCATTTCTGTGTCTAGGACACAACATTTCTAAATGGCCCTTCAATCCCTCCATTTGGGAAACTGGACCCCCTTGATTTGTGAGCATCTATTTTCTACCAAACAGCAGTGTAGAAGCTGTGAACTGATGAAGTCAGAGAGTGGTACCAGGTTTCCTTCTGAACCAGAGCTGCAGCACACTCATCCCGGGACAAGCTGCATCGTGGCTAAGGGACCTCAATTGGATAATGGATCAGAGATCAAACGCATACAGGCTATTCTCAACTCCAGATGTGATTGTATTGGTAGAAAACATCCACTCAACCATAACGAAATGTAGCCAACTCTTTTAACCTAGTTCAATAAACCGTCCACCGGTGCGGACTGAGAGAGTGCATGGTCTGCGCGTAGCACTCTGTGCGTGGCACTCTATGCATCTTTGGTACATATAGCCCAAGTTGGTCTGGTTATATCCGGAAGCTTGAAGAGCGCACATTGACCTAGACGCGCAATACAGGCAGGCAGACAGCGAAAGGATAAATCAGTCGCATCCTAGTGCGGCAGCGGGATACTGATTTTGCGTCGCATGCCATCGGACATTAGAGCGCATCTCTATCAAGAGGACGACTCTGAAGCTGTTCTGGCTGGTTGAATGGGTGACTTTCTTCTGTCTGGTTCAATGGGTGACTTGCTCGGAACGAAACACGTTTTGGACTAGAACAACCACCGATGAGGACATAAAATAAAGTTTCGCTCGCAAAATAAATAATTTAAGTTAAAGAAAACGTGGGATAGATTGAGTACCGCAAATACTGTTACTTGGTCTTAGTTGAAACTTCAATGGATAAAATGTTTCTAGTCGGAGGGAGATGTCTGACAATGCTAATCGTTTTAATACTTGTCGTTGGGTTGGTGATGAGCTTTCCCACCAAACACCACAAACTCCACAACGGTGTTTTTTTGGAGGTAAGCAACTTTTCTCTTGATTATTTTCTTCTAGATTTTAGGTAAATAATACGTTCCAAATGTCTCAGGATTTGGATATGAAACAAATTATTAAATTGTATTTAAATGAATTTAGCTGATGTAAATTATCCTCTACGAAATGAATTAAATACTTTACGCAATAGCCTAATATAATAGGTTATTTGTTGTCAGTTATCTCTTCAAATTGAATTGAATAACTTTAATTTATCCACAGAGAGGATCTGTTCTCGTGCCAATGAAACTTACTGGAGTGTATGACATATTCTGAATTGTAATTAACTTCAGTTACAAAAGTTAACCTTCTAACAAACCAAATCAAAGAATCACAGACTGACAATGTTGTACCTAACATTATGCTACACTGCCAGTTGACCCCTTAGCCATGAATCAATGGAAATCTGTATCAATAAATCTCTAGGGCCTTGGGGTAAAGGGTTGTTCAGCGTTTCTCCATGTATAGTAAGGTATCTAGGCATCAAGAGAAGGTCATTCTGAGCTGCACGGAGCAGCATAGTATTACAGACAGCCTCCTCTTCTACAGCAGCTATAATAGATAGGCTTGCTGAATTCCATTTGAAGCAAATATCTATCTGTAAGAGGATCCAATGGAGGTGTTTGTGCGGCTCATGGACATATATGGGTTTACAATCCTGTGTGTGTGTGTGTGTGTGTGTGTGTGTGTGTGTGTGTGTGTGTGTGTGTGTAGGGGCCTTGAAGGTCACCATGAACAGAATCAGATGTAGAATGAAAGAAAGGTGTAAACAGACAGATTCCAGATCTCTATGAAGTCGTTCCTCTGTACTTTCTCTCCCCTGGGTCTCCTTCAATGGATGCCCTGTTGGTGTCCTGATGCCCATAGCCTATAACTGATTGATGATTTATGTCAGTTGGACGTCAAACAGACGCGAAACAGTGAGGGAGAGAGACTGAGAGAGAGCGAGAGAGGGGAGTGAGAGAGTTTGAGAGAAAGAGGAGAGCGAAAGAGAGAGCGAGAGAGAGAGGCAGAGGGAGAGGGAGGGAGAGAGAGAGAGAGAGGGAAAGAGAGAGAGAGAGAGAGAGGGGAGAGGGAGTGGGCGAGAGAGAGAGAGAGAGAGAGAGAGAGAGAGAGCATGTTGTGGTGCTGGTGGTGGTAATGAGTGTGCGTTTTGGGCACCATTGACCCTGTGCCACCATGGTGACTGTATCTTTCCTGGTGACCTGGTAGATGCCAGTCTAACCAGGTAGAGGAGGGGCTGGTTTGTACAGTTGAGGAGCGAGAGGCACAATAGCAACTGCTTACATAACCCTAACCCAAACCTTACCCTAACTCAGCAGGGTTAGAGGAACCCTCAGCAGATCTCTCTCACCCTGGAATAAGGTCAGAGGTCAGGGTTTTCCCTCATCATGGGGGGCCGAGGAGGGGTGTAGAATGTGGAGTGTGCATGGCCTGGTTCCCAAATATTGTGACCTGTTCGCTCTACCTATCTGTTTTCTCTCCCTCCCTCTCCTTGCCTCTTCCCTCTTTCAAGGCTTGCATAAAAAAAAATTAAAAAAAATCCAAGAGGCGATCAAAGGGCCCCATAGTTTATTGTTCTTCTGTAATGGTTTGGAAAGGGCCAAGTGCAGAGGCCTTTCATATCTGTGGACACATAAATCAGGCATGCCTGCCACACTGCCCGCCCGCCTGCCCTCAGTCCCTCCCTCCCTACCTCCCTCCCTGCCTCCCTGCCCTCCCTCCCTCCCTCCCTCCCTCCCTTCCTTCCTGCCTCCCTCCCTGCCTCCCTCCCTGCCGCCTGTGTTGTGTGTGTCGGAAAGGCCAGGACTCCCACGGCTGCACAGCCATAGTGGCCCGTAAAGACAGACCACATACCATCAACCAATACGCCTTTGATCATCAGGGGAGCCTCTCTGCAGAGAGAGAGAGAGAGAGAGAAGGAGAGAGAGGACAGTGGGATCAGAGAGAAAGAGGGGGGAGAGAGAGAGAGAGGAGGAGGAGAAGAGTGATATATAAGGAAACTGAATACAGGATCCAGATGTGTAAAAAGCCGAGATGAGGAAGGTGTGAAAATATGTGTCCCTTCTTGACTCCAGTCTTAAAGTTGTGTCAGCGTGTGTGTGGATGTGGAAATCCATGTGTGTCTCACCTGTGATGCGTGATTTGAAGGAGTCAGGCGCAGGAGGGCAAATCACAGTATACAGAGTTTATTCCGTAATCCAGCGTAACCAGTCCAGTGCGCAAAACAGGCGCACTGGAACAAACATGCACACGGGGAAAATACCCCGGCAATACAAAATACTGAGCTCAACCGAGCTACTAATCCTCACAATGAACAATCACCCACAAGGACAAGGGGGCAGAGGGAACACTTAAACACATACTAATGAGGGGAATATGAACCAGGTGTGTGTAATTGACAAGACAAGACAAATGGAATGATGAGATAGGAAGCGGCAGTGGCTAGAAGGCCGGTGACGACGAACGCCGAAGCCTGCTCGAACAAGGAAGGGAGGCAGCTTCGGAGGAAGTCGTGACCGTACCCCCTCCCCCCCTTGACGCACAGCCCCAGCAGCGGGGACGGCCAGGAGGACGCTGAGCAGGGCGAGCCGGATGGCGACGGTGGAAATCCCGCAACAGGGAGGGATCGAGGATATCCCTCACCGGGACCCAGCACCGTTCCTCCGGACCATACCCCTCCCACTCCACGAGATACTGAAGGCCCCCCACCCGACGCCTTGAATCCAGGATGGAACAGACGGAGTACGCCGGGGCCCTGAGGAGAGACACATGAAACGAGGGGTTAATACGGTAATCATGGGGGAGTAATAACCTATAGGTAACCTTGATTCTCCTCAGGACTTTGAACGGCCCCACAAATCGCGGGCTCAGCTTCCGGCAGGGCAGGCGGAGGGGCAGATTCCGTGTCGAGAGCCAGACCCGATCACTCGGTACAAAGACCGGGGCCTCACTGCGGTGGCGTTCAGCGTTGGCCTTCTGACGACGCACAGCGCGTTGGAGTTGGACATGGGCAGCGTCCCACGTCTACTCTACGCGCCGAAACCAGTCATCCACCTGAGGAGCCTCGGTCTGGCTCTGGTGCCACGGTGCCAGAACCAGTTGGTAACCTAAAACACATTGGAATGGCGTTAGGTTAGTGGAGGAGTGACGGAGAGAGTTCTGTGCATATTCAGCCCATGGCAAGAACACCGACCACTCCCCCGGCCGGTCCTGGCAGTAGGACCGCAGGAACCTACCCACATCCTGATTTACCCGTTCCACCAGCCCATTAGACTCGGGGTGGAAACCAGAGGTTAGGCTGACCGAGACCCCCAGACGTTCCATGAACGCCTTCCAGACCTTGGATGTGAACTGGGGACCCCGGTCAGACACTATATCCTCTGGTACCCTGTAGTGCCGGAAGACGTGTGTAAACAGGGCCTCCGCAGTTTGCAGGGCCGTGGGGAGACCGGGCAGAGGAAGGAGGCGGCAGGCCTTAGAAAAGCGGTCCACGACGACCAGGATGGTGGTGTTACCTTGGTAGAGGGGAAGATCGGTAAGGAAATCAACACTCTGGTGAGACCATGGTCGTTGTGGAACTGATAAAGGTTATAACTTACCCGCTGGGAGGTGCCTAGGTGCCTTACTCTGGGCGCACACCGAGCAGGAGGAGACATACACCCTCACGTCCTTAGCCAAGGTAGGCCACCAGTACTTTCCGGTCAGTAGATCAGACGGTCATGGATAAGAGCAGGCACGTACTGCAGCCCAGCTGGACACTGAGGTGGAGATGGCTCTCTGCTTAACGCCTGCTCTATATGCGCGTCCATCACCCATACTACCAGCGCCACAATGCAGGAGGACGGGAGTATGGGGGTGTTGTCTCTGGGCCGCTCCTCTGTGTCATACAGCCGTGACAATGCGTCTGCCTTCACGTTCTTCGTACCCGGGATGTTTGATAGTGGGAAATCAAACCGGGTGAAGAATAGGGCCCACCTGGCCTGGCGAGGATTCAGCCTCCTCGCTGCCCAGATGTACTCCAGGTTACGGTGGTCCGTCCAGATGAGGAAAGGGTGTTTCGCCCCTTCGAGCCAATGCCTCCACACGGTCAGGGCTCGGACAACAGCCAACAGCTCCCGTTCACCAACATTGTAGTTCTGCTCCGCCGGGCTGAGCTTCTTAGAGAAGAAGGCACAGGGGTGGAGCTTGGGTGGTGTGCCCGAGCATTGAGATAGCACAGCGCCTATCCCTACCTCGGACGCATCCACCTCCACTACGAATGGTAGTGATGGATTGGGGTGGGCCAGTACCGGGGCTGAGGTGAACAGACCCCTCAGGTTACTGAAGGCACTGTCAGCCTCAGCAGACCAGCGGAGCCGGGACGGCCCACCCTTCAACAGAGATGTAATGGGAGCTGCGACTTTGCCAAAGCCCCGGATAAACCTCCGATAGTAGTTGGCGAAGCCAATAAAGCACTGCTCTTCCTTAACCGTGGTTGGAGTCGGCCAATTACACATGGCTGAAATGCGATCTCCCTCCATCTCCACACCTGAGGTGGTAATGCGGTATCCGAGGAAGGAGACGGACTGCTGTAAAAACAGACACTTTTCTGCCTTGGCATAAAGGTCATTTTCCAACAGTCGGGCCAGCACTTTGTGAACCAGGGACACATGCTCGGCGCGCGTAGTGGAATACACCAGAATGTCATCTATGTAGACCACTACACCGTGACCAAGCATGTCCCGAAACACCTCGTTCACAAAGGACTGGAAGAGCCACCGTGACTGTGTCACGGAGGCTCTCCGCACTGCCAAAGCTAACTCTCTCTCCTCTGCTCTTATCCTTCTAGACCTATCTGCTGCCTTTGATACTGTGAATCATCAGATCCTCCTCTCCACCCTCTCCGAGTTGGGCATCTCCGGCGCTGCTCACTCTTGGATTGCGTCCTACCTGACAGGTCGCTCCTACCAGGTGGTGTGGCGAGAATCTGTCTCCGCACCACGTGCTCTCACCACTGGTGTCCCCCAGGGCTCAGTTCTAGGCCCTCTCCTATTCTCTCTATACACCAAGTTACTTGGCTCTGTCATATCCTCACATGATCTCTTCTATCATTGCTACGCAGACGACACAAAATTAATTTTCTCCTTTCCCACTTCTAATAACCAGGTGGCGAATCGCATCTCTGCATGTCTGGCAGACATATCAGTGTGGATGTCGGATCACAACCTCAAGCTGAACCTCGGCAAGACGGAGCTGCTCTTCCTCCAGGGGAAGTACTGCCCGCTCCATGATCTCGCCATCATGGTTGACAACTCCATTGTGTCCTCCTCCCAGAGTGCAAAGAACCTTGGCGTGATCCTGGACAACACCCTGTCGTTCTCTGCTAACATCAATGCAGTGACCCGATCCTGCAGGTTCATGCTCTACAACATTCGCAGAGTATGACCCTACCTTACACAGAAAGCGGCACAGGTCCTAATCCAGGCACTTGTCATCTCCCGTCTGGATTACTGCAACTCGCTGTTGGCTGGGCTCCCTGCCTATGCCATTAAACCCTTGCAATTTATCCAGAACGCTGCAGCCCGTCTGGTGTTCAACCTTCCCAAGTTCTCTCACGTCACCCCACTCCTCCGCACACTCCACTGGCTTCCAGTTGAATCTCACATCTACTACAAAACTATGGTGCTTGCCTACGGAGCTGTGAGGGGAACGGCACCTCCTTACCTTCAGGCTCTGATCAGACCCTACACCCAAACGAGGGCACTACGTTCATCCACCTCTGGACTGCTAGACCCCTACCTCTACGGAAGCACAGTTCCCGCTCAGCCCAGTCAAAGCTATTCGCTGCTCTGGCACCCCAATGGTGGAACAAGCTCCCCCACGACGCCAGGACAGCAGAGTCACTGACCACCTTCCGGAGAAACTTGAAACCCTACCTCTTTAAGGAATACCTGGAATAGTATAATAGTAATCCTTCTACCCCCCCTTTACTACCACCGTCTTTTGTCTAAACTAACACCTGACTTATTTCACCTGCTAGCACTGACTTGTTTAAAGAAATGTACTGATTGTGATCGAGATGTAGTTGTTCCTGATAGCACTGACTTTGCTCACAGCTGCTTGTTTGAAGAAGTGTACTTACTGTGATCAAGATGTGGTTGTCCCACTGGCTATCCTAAGTTGAATGCATCAATTTGTAAGTCTCTCTGGATAAGAGCGTCTGCTAAATGACTTAAATGTAAATGTAAATGTAAGACGGATGGAGCATTCATCAAACTGTAGGGCATCACCAGGTATTCATAATGCCCCGTGGTTGTGATGAATGCTGTCTTCCACTCATCCCCCTCTCGGCCATGCACCAGGTTGTACGCACTCCGGAGATCTAATTTGGTGAAGAAGTTCGCCCCATGCATTGTCTCGATCACTGAAGGGGAGAGGATAACTAAATCGCATCGTCTCCTTGTTCAGTGATCAATAATCAATGCAAAGGCACAGACCGCCGTCTTTCTTCTTCACAAAAAATAAACTTGAGGAGGCGGGTGAAGTGGAGGGATGTATAAACCCCTGGCCTCCGTTTCAGTCTGTGACGGGGGATACACATGACTCCTGGGAGGCACAGCGTCTACCCAGAGGTTTATTGCGCAATCCCCGCCCGATGAGGTGGTAACTTGGTCGCCTGCGTTTTGGAAAACGCGTGCGCCAAATCGAGGTATTCGGGGGGAACGAGCACGGTGGAGGTACTGTCTGGACTTTCCACCGTGGTTGCATCAACGGAAACACCGAGACACCTACCCTGACACTCTCGCAACCACCCTACCAAACCCGGACCCTAATGGTCGACTGTCAAGTGCTCTGATGGGGAGTGGAATGGATAGGGGAACCAATGAAATGCCTAGACTGTGTGAGAATGCCCTGTCCATAAATTTCCCAGCTGCGCCTGAATCGACTAGCGCCTTACACTGGGGAACTACAATGTGATCAGGAAAGTGGATGGGTAGGGTACAGTGCGGAGCAGAGGGGTCTGAACAAGTGTGGGTGTTCGATACCGGTGTAATGTCCCTTCAGAGTGACACTGGCGCTGTCGTCCTCCGCTCTCTCGGATCGCGGCTCCACCCAGCTCCATCAGCTCGTGATCCGAGTCAGCCGGGGTTGGAACGGGCAGGCCCCCTCCAGGACGTCCTCTGGCTGCCAGCAGGTTGTCCAAATGGATGGCCATGTCCACCAGTTGCATGAAGGACAACATGGTGTCCCGGCAGGCTAGCTCCCTTCCCTTCCTCCCGCAGATGGCACCGGAAGTGGTCGATAAGGGCCCGCTCGTTCCACCCGGATCCAGCTGCTAGAGTCCGAAACTCCAAGGCGAAGTCCTGCACAGTCCTCGTCCCCTGCCTCAGGTGGACCAGCCGCTCGCACGCCTCTCGACCTTCGGGCGGGTGAGCGAACTTCCCGTAGTTGTCCAACGCGCCTCCTCCTTCATTTCAGACCGCGTTGGCCCACTCCAGGGCTTTCCCAGAGAGGCAGAAGACAAGGGTGGACACCTTCTCCCGCTCCGATGGGGCCGGGCTGATGCTGGAGAAGTAGAGCTCCAGTTGGAGGAGGAATCCCTGGCAGAGAGCAGCTGTCCTGTCGAACTCCCGTGGTCGGGATATATGGATCCCTCTGGGTGCTGGGATGCGGGTGGCTGGATCCAGTTGCCCAGCTGGTCTCGACAGATCGGGTCCTCTCCTCTCCAGGCGTTGGACGACCTGGAGAACCCGATCCATCGCTTCTCCCAAGCTGGCTAGCACTGTTGAATGCTCCTGGACCCGTGCCATGACTCCAGGCATGTGCTCCTCTCCCACTGACTCCATAGTTGGTGGGTGATTCTGTGATGCGTGATTTGAAGGAGTCAGGCGCAGGAGGGTAAATCACAGTATACAGAGTTTATTCCGTAATCCAGCGTAACCAGTCCAGTGCGCAAAACAGGCGCACTGGAACAAACATTCACACGGGGAAAATACCCCGGCAATACAAAATACTGAGCTCAACCGAGCTACTAATCCTCACAATCAACAATCACCCACAAGGACAAGGGGGCAGAGGGAACACTTAAACACATACTAATGAGGGAATATGAACCAGGTGTGTGTAATTGACAAGACAAGACAAATGGAATGATGAGATATGGAGCGGCAGTGGCTAGAAGGCCGGTGACGATGAAAGCCGAAGCCTGCCCGAACAAGGAGGGGAGGCAGCTTTGGAGGAAGTCGTGACATCACCCTACTTACCCAGACAATGGAAGAGGAAAGATATTGAGTAATCAGTCTAGGCACAGATAGAAATACCAATATCTAGTTTATGATTAAACCACTCAAAAATCAGACTAATTGATTAAGTGATAAAACCAGGTCCAAGTAGAACATCAAGTCCAATTTAAATCAAATTATAAAATGGGTGGTTCGAGCCCTAAATGCTGATTCGCTGACAGCCATGGTATATCAGACCGTATACCACATGTATGACCAAAAAATTATTTTTACTGCTCTAATTACGTTGGTAACCAGTTTATAATAGCAATAAGGCACCTCGATGGTTTGTGATATATGGACAATATACCACGGCTAAGGGCTGTGTCCAGGCACTCCGCGTTGCAACGTGCATAAGAACAGCCCTTAGGCGTGGTATATTGGCCATATACCACACCCCCTCTGGCCTTATTGCTTAAATATAGAACACCAAGTCCAATTAAATCAAAATATAGAACACCAGGTCCAATTAAATCAAAATATAGAACACCAGGTCCAATTAAATCAAAATACAGAACACCATTCAAACTGCACAAAGAAGGAAGACAAGTCCTAACGTGTTTGGAACCATGTAATGGCCATCCCCTAATTCTCAGAGGGACCTGACAAGGCCCAGAGGAGGTCTTCAGGATCCTCCTCTTTCTCTCTTCAGTAATGAGCCAATAATGTTTGACAGGGGTTGCCTCTAAATGGTGACCACGTGTTCTCATGGTTGGATCAGATCTGTTCTCGGGCCCATAACCAACTGTTTTGTCACCACTCAGCCAGTGGGACCAAGTCCTATCAGATGTTTGGGCTCTTTATTGGCACTTTGGATACTGGCTGAATTAAACGCTAAGAGTCGTAGAAGATACCCTTACCTGACCTTAGATCAATTTCTAGTGGCAACTTGATCCAAAGAAGGATGGTTGACATTTACATTTGAGTCATTTAGCAGACGCTCTTATCCAGAGCGATTTACAGTTAGTGCGTTTTTTCGTCAATAAAAGTAGCTTATCAGCAAAGTCAGAGCTAGACGATGTTCACTTTGTCACAGACAGGTGGCTGATGGGTAGACAGAGTGAGGAGGACCTTAGGGAGAACTACGGCTTCCTGTCTGTTGAGTGTAGCTGCACAACGTTTACATGTTAGTTATTAGCAGACGCTCTTATCCAGAGCGAGTTACAGGAGCAATTAGGGTTAAGGGCCTTTCACAAGGCTTGGGGATTTGACCCAGCGACCTTTAGGTTACTGGCCCAACGCTCTTAACCGCTAGGCTACCTGCCGCCCTAGGGCACGGCAGGTCACAGCAGGTTGAAACACAGGGCCAGCCTGCCCACCATCCCAGGGGTACCACGACTCCAAAGCTCTCTCATTAAAACTAGAGAATCTGGCACAGGCTCCTCTTTGTCAGATGCCTGGATGCCAGGGCTCTGGCTGCTATGGGAAACAAATGAGAAGCAGACGGATGGACGGGGTTTGGTTGGTTGGTTGGTCTGCTGGTTTGTTGCCCCAATGGTTTCTAGGAGCTCTGTCACTAAGTCATAGCATGGTGTAAATGTTTTTCCTGGGAAAGTAGCTAAAGCAAGTATCCTTTGTGTCTTAAACCAGCCAGTAGCCACTGTATTGTTTATGATTAATGTCATCAAGGTCTTCAGAACGGTCCAGTCCACTGTATTTCATCATGATGCTTAATTGAGGTGTCCTATCTTTTTCCTCAGGATCGTGCTCAGCTGCCCATCAGTGGGGTCCATCATGGACCGGAGGCCCTGGAGCAGCAGAACCAGGTCCAGAGCCTCCTACCCCCCGTCACTGAGCACCGCCACAAGAGGAGGTGGTCCCACTCCCAGCACCGCTCCGTAGGGGTTCTGCCCCAGCCAGAGCCTGAGGAGGAGATCAAGCCCTTCGTTCTGGACCTGAAGAACTTCCCTGAACTGGCCAACGCAGACATCAGCTCTCAGAACCCCAACATCCAGGTTTGGTGATGATAATTGATTTGATTTTTATAATGCTTTTCTAGACCCTCAAAGCGATTTACATTTGTAAGGGGGAAACTCACCTAATCTAAATAATAAATAATATATATATAAATAATATATATGCCATTAAGCAGACGCTTTTATCAAAAGCGACTTACAGTCATGCGTGCATACATTTTAAATATTGGTGGTCCCAGGAATCAAACCCAGAATAATGGTGTTGCAAGCGCCATGCTCTACCAACCGCCATACTCTACCAACAATGCATAGCACCCTGGTAAAGCAGGGAAGAGCAATGAGTATAGCGATCCTTTATCTTGATTCCATTCTATGGTGAGGAGTTTCTACTTGGCATGAGTGGCAATTCAGCAGAACAAGACAGTAGCTACTTTCACATTGCATAAATAGTTCCAGTCTCCACCTTCAGTTCTTCCATTTCCTGTGTTTCCTCCAGCGATTAGCCTCAATGTCTTCAGCATGTCCTTTCCTGTGATTCCTCCAGCGATTAGCCTCAATGTCTTCAGCATGTCCTTTCCTGTAATTCCTCCAGCGACTAGCCTCAATGTCTTCAGCATGTCCTTTCCTGTGATTCATCCACCGATTAACCTCAATGTCTTCAGCATCTAATTTCTTGTGATTCCTCCAGCGATTAGCCTCAATATCTTCAGCATGTCCTTTCCTGTGATTCCTCCAGCGATTAGCCTCAAGATCTTCAGCATGTCCTTCTGTTCAACTCATCTCAATCTCACGGTAGTTAGTTCCATCTACTGGTCGATGTGGTTAGCTGGAGCTGGATGTACTGATCCCATGCAGGCTGGCTCTGCCCTCTTATGGTCTCTCCATGTTGCCTGGTCCTGACATCTACTATGGGAGTGAGCTAACGTACAGATTGAGTCATACAGTAGTGCCTACCAGTCTAATGAGATGTAGTTAAGCATAACAAACACTGACATCTCTCTTGCTCCAAGATGGGAGGAAGTGGGATCTTCTGACTGAGTGCTCACTGCTCATCTCATGTCTGACTGGTTTAGTCAGAGCTATAAATTAGGCAAGTCAATCCCCTGGTACTTCTGGAAGTTGGGAAATGTGCCATCGGTGAATTTGGTAAACATCTCTTGCTTCCATTGTGGTTTTCTAATAACGTTTAGATGTTAAGTTTTGCGTGCATCCTCCTTCTATTGAAAGTCTGTCTTTTTGTGAAGTAAGTGTTCAACTTTGTAGGACTAGTTGTAGCCATCTTAGCATGTCCAGGGAATCAATATAAATATCATGCTTCCACATAGAGCAATGGTTCTCTAAATTATTCACTCTCCTTTCCTCCATCGCAGGTGACCATAGAGGTGGTGGATGACCCTAACATGGAGTTAGAGATGGATCTGGTCAAGGACTGGATCCCCCCGTCCTCCCCGTCCACTGTAGATCGGCCGGGGGGTAAGAAGCTGTTCTGGCCTTTGTTCTGGGGATACACAGACGCTGACTCCAGCGAGGATGGGACGGGCCGCTCAGGGCCGGAGGAGACTGGAGAGGAAGAGGAGAAAGAGGAGGAAGGGGAGGAAGATTACCTGTTGGAGTATGGTAGCGAAGAGCCCCTCCCCAGCGGAGTTGGAGGTGACTGGGACAGTCGCTGGAACGAGGGTTGGGACGCTACGCAGAGCCACTATGGTGAGGCTTCTTCTGTTCGCTAAGTGGCAGAGTATCTGGCTAGCTGTCACCCATGCCAATGGCTTCCAGGCCAAAGTCTTTCAAAGAAATTGCCCTAATTGGAGAATCTGAAAAAGACCGGTGATCTCTGATCCACTTTTGCCTGCCTCAGAGTAGGGGATCATTATAAGATGGATGTTACTGTTTTGAAATAGTGGGAGGCAAAGTGAAAGAAAGAGATTCATAGGATTCACAGAGAAATGTCAAAAAGTGATTAGTTAGCAAAGAGACAGAGAGACAGCGGGAGAGGGAAGGGGCAGAGGACTGTGGCAGGGCGGCAGGCTGTACTGACTGAGGACTGTGGCAGGGCGGCAGGGCTGTACTGACTGAGCGAGCGAGAGAGCTCTGCTCTGCAAGCACTCGACCATCAGGCCCATTGTGGAGCTCCAGCCTTTGAAGTGGACACTGGGTCCCAACTCGCAGCTCGCTGTGGAGGCCTGCTGCTTTTGAAGATGGGCCTGATGCGCTCGCTAATGGCAGCATGAGCCTGTTCCCCCGGACGGACAGAACAGCCCACTGCTTGTGTACAATTAGAGGGCAGATTGGGAACAGGGGATGACAGGGGCCATTCGGCTGGGTCTTTCATCCTCTCTCCGGGCCCCACAGACCCCCAGACCCTGGCTCGGCCCTCTGCCTTAGGCGGCAAGGCCTTTTGAGCCTGTTCAAGAATTCGGGGGCTTTCAGGGACGTGGATAACATTTACGCCTCTATTGTTTTTTGTTTCTCTTAATTCTCAGTCCGTTTTCTCCCTGTGCATGATGGGAAAAGAGCATAACACTTTCTGGCTGAACAGCCAGGCAGCTTTTTTCAGCCCCGTAAACCACAGCAGAGCCATGCAGCTTAATTCAGCCCTGTAGACAACAGCAGAGCCATTAAGCTTTATTCAAGTGAGAGAAGGGATGCAGCTTCATAATGTAACTGAATGTCCACTTAGAGAAGGGCTGCAGCTTTAGCCCCAGGGGCGGCAGGTAGCTTAGTGGGTAAGAGCGTTGAGCCAGTAACCGAAAGGTCGCTGGTTCTAATCCCCGAGCTGACTAGGTGAAAAATCTGTCGATGTGCCCTTAAGCAAGGCACTTAACCCTAATTGCTCCTGTAAGTCGCTGAATGTCCACTTAGAGAAGGGCTGCAGCTTCATAATGTAACTGAATGTGTAGACGATGACCCTGTTTAATTCTAAGTCGTGACATTTTTATTAGCCTCCTCTACCCTTCAGATCAGCATTTAGATTCAAAACGAAGAGACAAGCAAATGCTCTGAACATCAAAGCTCAACGAGCCCAAACTCTAGCTATGTTGATCACAACATACAGTGTGATGTAAATGAGTATGTGGCTGTGTGTATTCAGTGTGTATACACGTATCAACCTTGACTGTCACTGAATGAGGTGCATGTGGTCTAGGAACAGGGCAACAGTGTTTATTAAGTGGTCAGATCTGATGGCTTTTAGTGAACGTAAAGTATGTCAGTCAGACTAGCGTAAAGTTGGGGCTTCCCTTCTGTAATTAAAATCGCTCCTGAGAAGAGTCTATTTCCTGTGTTCTGGCTGCGCCACAAGGGACCCAGCTGCACCGTCACCAAAGCTGCCATTTCTGCGCACACCTCATCTCGTCGGTAATCGAGAGCGGACATGTTTTCAGTATCATTAACACCAGACTCAAACCTTTCAGAAGGCAGATAGCTTCAGCCTAACCTAGTTCCTCCTCTCTGATTTGTCAGGAGGCTACGTTACAGGACTATATGGCTGCTGGGAAAGGTTAGACCAGAGGAGCATTATACTGTACATAGAAAAGCCTTGTTATGGATTTGGAATTTGTTGTCATGGAACAAAAATATTAAATAGGATTTCAGGTAAATTCACTTTAAGTAATGTGGATGTTAAGGGATTAGTTAAAGGAGTTTTAAGAGGTTATTTACTTATCCTTGTAATATCTACAGTCTAGCTTCTGGCTCATACGTCAGTGCAGTAAATGCATCTAAACCAAATCTAGCTTTGTTTCTCAGCATGATTCACCATAATCACTGTTTACTATGATAACTTCCCCTTCCTGTCCACTCCTAATTAACCCTTTCAAGTTGTTTTCCTTTTCCTTGATGGCTCGTTAAGCACAGGTGGTGAACAAGCAAAATGCTTTTAATTGGAGTTCTACACAGTTAGGACGTAGCCTAGTTAGGAAATCCCACATCTGGGAGAGAAATTAAACTCTTACTGATTAGAGAGTAATCATGTGATGTGGGAGAATTGTGTGTGTGTGTGTGTGTGTGTTACCCATAAAATGTAAAACAGCTTAAATAGGAGAAGCACTATACATCTAATGAGTTTTGTTTTGTCCCCCACAGAGGAAGAAACGGAGGAGTGGAGTGCCTGGTCTCCGTGCTCTGTCACCTGTGGTCATGGAGAGAGGGAAAGGACCCGGTCCTGTGGTTACTCCTGCACCCTGACAGAGGCCTCCAAATGTGACATGGAGCCTTGTCCAGACGATGGCAACACTGTGGCTGAACCTTTCCCCTTCCAGATGGAGAATGGCACTGAATCTTTTGGCACAGGTACGTGGAATACCCTTTTTTGTTTTACACCTGGCAAAAATATAATATAACAGAACAGAGCAGAAAAGAACAGAACAGGGCAGAACAGAATAGAACAGGGCAGAATAGAACAGGGCAGAATAGAACAGGGCAGAACAGAATAGAACAGAATAGAACAGGGCAGAATAGAACAGGGCAGACCAGAATAGAACAGAGCAGAACAGGACAGAATAGAACAGAGCAGAACAGAACAGGACAGAACAGAACTGGGCAGAGCAGAGCAGAGCAGAACAGAACAGAACAGAGCAGAACAGAACAGAATAGAGCAGAATAGAACAGAACAGGGCAGAACAGAACAGGGCAGGGCAGAACAGAATAGAATAGAACAGAGCAGAGCAGAACAGAACAGAACAGAACAGGGCAGAACAGAACAGAATAGAACAGGGCAGGGCAGAACAGAGCAGAACAGAATAGAACAGAGAAAAACAGAACAGAACAGGGCAAAACAGAATAGAATAGAACAGAACAGAACAGAACAGGGCAGAACAGAATAGAACAGAACAGAGCAGAGCAGAACAGAACAGGGCAGAACAGAACAGAACAGAATAGAACAGAACAGAGCAGAACAGAACAGGGCAGAACAGAATAGAACAGAACAGAACAGAATAGAACAGAACAGGGCAGAACAGAAATAACTATGTAATTAGATGGTAATTGACACAATGGCCTCCCACTACTCCCTTTAGATGTGGACACCTGTGAGAAATGGCTGAACTGTAAGAGCAAATTTCTCCAGAGGTACCTCAACCAGGTCCTGTCAGAACTACCCAGCTGCCCCTGCACTTACCCCTCGGCCACCCCCTACACCGTGGTCAGCGTCTTCGACGAGGGACACGGCCGGACCTTCCGTTGGCGTGACGCCAGCGGCCCTAAAGAACGCCTGGACATCTACAAACCCTCGGCGAGGACTTGCATCCGCTCGTCCCTCTCCGGCGACGTCGCCACGCTCGCTGCGCAGCACTGTTGCTACGACAACCGCGGCCGTTTGATCACGCGGGGGAAGGGTGCGGGAACGCCCAACCTGATCAGCACGGAGTTCTCCCCGGAGCTCCACTTCAAGGTGGACGTGCTGCCCTGGATCCTGTGTAAAGGGGACTGGAGCCACTTCCACGTGGTGCGGCCGCCCAACAATGGGCTGGTCTGCCCGGAGAACCCCCACCAGGACGTGTTCATGAACGAGCTGGAGGAGGCCCGGGAGTACTGAGAACGCAGGCAGCTAAAACTACACTACCCAGAATGTGCCAGAACAGTGGGGTCCAATCCTAACTTGAGAAGAGGGAGTAGGACTGTTTTGCATTGCATTGAAGTCAATAGGAGGTTTGGGGATTGTGAAGTTTAGGTGCAAGTTAGGATTTGGCACATTAAACATCATGCAACCAGGCCCAACAGAACAGAACTCTCTCTCTCTCTCTCTCTCTCTCTCTCTCTCTCTCTCTCTCTCTCTCTCTCTCTCTCTCTCTCTCTCTCTCTCTCTCTCTCTCTCTCTCTCTCTCTCTCTCTCTCTCTCTCTCTCTCTCTCTCTCTCTCTCTCTCTCTCTCTCTCTCCTCCCCTCCCCCCGTGTGTATGCAAGCATGATGTTGTCGTCTAGCCTGTTGATGGTGTCTGTCTGTGTGACTGACCATCAGTTAACACGTTATGTAATCAGATTACTTTTATGAGTAACGAGGTACTTTTTCAAATTGGGTAATACACTACATGACCAAAAGTATGTGAACACCTGCTCGTCGAACATCTCATTCCAAAATCATGGGCATTAATATGGAGTTGGTCCCCCCTTTGCTGCTATAACAGCCTCCACTCTTCTGGGAAGGCTTTCCACTAGATGTTGGAACATTGTTCCGGGGACTTGCTTCCATTCAGCCACAAGAGCATTAGTGATGTTGGGCGATTAGGCCTGGCTCGCAGTCGGCGTTCCAATTCATCCCAAAGGTGTTCAATGGGGTTGACGTCAGGGCTCTGTGCAGGCCAGTCAAGTTCGTCCACACCTATCTCAACAAACCATTTCTTTATGGACCTCGCTTTGTGCACGGGGGCATTGTCATGCTGAAACAGGAAAGGGCCTTCCCCAAACTGTTGCCACAAAATTGGAAGCACAGAATCGTCTAGAATGTCATTGTATGCTGTAGCGTTAAGAGTTCTCTTCACTGGAACTAAGGGGCCTGAACCATGAAAAACAGCCACAGATGATTATTCCTCCTCCACCAAACTTTACAGTTGTACTATGCATTGGGTTTGTCCGTCGGACTGCCAGATGGTGAAGCGTGATGTCCCCCACAGAGGGTTTGTCCGTCGGACTGCCAGATGGTGAAGCGTGATTCATCACTGCAGAGAACACGTTTCCACTGCTCCAGAGTCGCGCTTGGCATTGCGCATGGTGATCTTAGGCTTGTGTGCGGCCATGGAAACCCATTTCATGAAGCTCCCGACAAACAGTTCTTGTGCTGACGTTGCTTCCAGACGCAGTTTGGCAGTGAGTGTTGCAACCGAGGACAGACGATTTTTACCCGCTACGCGCTTCAGCACTCGGCGGTCCCGTTCTGTGACCTTGTGTGTCCTACCATTTCGGGGCTGAGCCTGTGTTGCTTCTAGACCTTTCCACTTCACAATAACAGCACTTACAGTTGACCGGGCCAGCTCTAGCAGGGAAGATATTTGACAAACTGACTTTTGGATAGATGGCATCCTTTGACGGTGCCACGTTGAAAGTCACTGAGCTCTTCAGTAAGGCCATTCTACTGCCAATGTTTGTCTATGGAGATTGCATGGCTGTGTGCTTGATTTTATACACCTGTCAGCAACGGGTGTTGCTGAAATAGCCAAATCCACTAATTTGAAGGGGTGTCCACAGCCTTTTGTATATATAGTGTATTATTACAGTTACTTTGTCAAATAACGCATGCGTTACTTTCGGAATCATATCTCTACCGGCCGCGTATTTCCATGATCCGTTCTCGAGTTGTTTCCTCATTTAGTTCTCGAGCAGCGGAGAAAGGCTGTTTGTAGAAATCTCATGACAGCTGCTGTCCATAGAAACGCCCTTAGACGGCTTTCCCGTCTACTGGCAGGCCCTCTATACATTTCTATGGGTCCGTGTAGCCTACTTGCGGTCTATAACCAGAACTGGCGGCTCGAATAAAATCTGTACAGATGTTTGGCTGACAGTGTATATGGCTAATTAAGCAGCCCATATGATAGCGCAGCAGCTGTAGATTAGCACAGGAAAGCAGCACCACAGATGAAACTAGTGATCAGACCTGACTTAGTAAGTAGCCTTTCTCCTTCCGAAAGTCAAACAAATAGTGAGATTTTGTTTTCATGAAAGCAATGCAAAGTAATATAACGCGTTACTTTCCACACAAAGTAATATTGTAAAGGAACATGTTACTTTTGTTAAATGTAACTAGTAATATATCACTTTTTTCAAGTAACAAATCCCAACACTGCTGAACAGAGCAACATAAACATCCATAACGTACTTCCTGATATGATTTCGCTACGTGAGATGTTTGATACTGTGGTAAGTCTTATTTTGAAGAGGGTAATGGTGAGACGGAACATGTGGGGAACATGTCTCGGCCAACTGAATAGTCTTAATGATGCTGCTAAAAGCAGATACTTCAGATGTGATAGGCACTGGAGAGGAATCTACGTATGGTTGCACTAACATGCATGAATTTCAGTGATTCTTCTTTAAAATATATACTACCGTTCAAAAGTTTGGGGTCACTTAGAAATGTCCTTGTTTTCCATGAAAACATACATGAAATGAGTTTGAATAGGAAATAAAGAAAAATGAATAGGAAATGTAGTCATTGACAAGGTTAGAAATAATGCTTTTTAATTGAAATAATAATTGTGTCTTTCAAACTTTGCTGTCGTCAAAGAATCCTCCATTTGCAGCAATTACAGCCTTGCAGACCTTTGGCATTCTAGTTGTCAATTTGTTGAGGTAATCTGAAGAGATTTCACCACATGCTTGCTGAAGCACCTCCCACAAGTTGGATTGGCTTGATGGGCACTTCTTACGTACCATACGGTCAAGCTGCTCCCACAACAGCTCAATAGGGTTGAGATCCGGTGACTGTGCTGGCCACTCCATTATAAAACAGAATACCAGCTGACTGCTTCTTCCCTAAATAGTTATTGCATAGTTTGGAGCTGTGCTTTGGGTCATTGTCCTGTTGTAGGAGGAAATTGGCTCCAATCAAGCGCTGTCCACAGGGTATGGCATGGCATTGCAAAATGGAGTGATAGCCTTCCTTCTTCAAGATCCCTTTTACCCTGTACAAATCTCCCACTTTACCACCACCAAAGCACCCCCAGATCATCACATTACCTCCATCATGCGTGACAGATGGCATCAAGCACTCCTCCAGCATCTTTTCATTTGGTCTGTGTCTCACAAATGTTCTTCTTTGTGATCCGAACATCTCAAACTTCGATTCGTCTGTCCTTAACACTTTTTTCCAATCTTCCTCTGTCCAGTGTCTGTGTTCTTTTGCCCATCTTAATATTTTATTGGCCAGTCTGAGATATGGCTTTTTCTTTGCAACTATGCCTAGAAGGTCAGCATCCCAGAGTCGCCTCTTCACTGTTGACGTTGAGACTGGTGTTTTGCGGGTACTATTTAATTTTGCGGGTACTGTTTCTCAAACTAGACAATCTAATGTATTTGTCCTCTTCCTCAGTTGTGCACCGGGGCCTCCCACACCTCTTTCTATTCTGGTTAGAGCCAGTTTGCGCTGTTCTGTGAAGGGAGTAGTATACAGCGTTGTACGAGATCTTCAGTTGCTTGGCAATTTCTCACATGGAATAGCCTTCATTTCTCAGAACAAGAATAGACTGACGAGTTTCAGAAGCCATTTTCTGGCCATTTTGAGCCTGTAATCGAACCCACAATTGCTGATGCTCCAGATACTCAACTAGTCTCAAGAAGGCCAGTTTTATTGCTTCTTTAATCAGCACAACAGTTTTCAGCTGTGCTAACATAATTGCAAAAGTGTTTTCTAATGATCAATTAGCCTTTTAAAATGATAAACTTGGATTAGCAAACACAACATGCCATTGGAACACAGGACTGATGGTTGCTGATAATGGGCCTCTGTACGCCTATGTAGATATTTCATAAAAAATCAGCCGTTTCCAGCTACAATAGCCATTTACAACATTAACAATGTCTACACTGTATTTCTGATCAACTTGATGTTATTTTAAAGGACAAAAAAATTGCTTTTCTTTCAAAAACAAGGACATTTCTATGTGACCCCAAACTTTTGAACAGTAGTATATATTTATGGCTGAGGAGAGAATTTGGTCTAAAAGATCTTTACAAACAAGAACAACAACCTCCAGCAATTCATAGTAATTCATGATAACATGCCAACAGATCATCATCTTAGAACCTACTAGGAGTCATCTGGTCTGGACTGAGCTTATGGTCCACAGTTTCAACAATGACAATTTGATAACCTTCAATCATGGATGTTTCTACAGTTTTCTCAGGGGGACTCATGTTAGAGATTCTAGTCCATTTTTACATGTACCTCAACAGTGGAGTAGTATTGGGACCCAGTGCTTCAGAATACTCATTCACATAATGGTACCTGTTAGGGAAATGGAAAGTGGATAAATACATTTAAAATTACGAAATTATGCTCTTTGTGTGTTATTTGGCAAGCAATGTATATTTCAATTAATGTAATTAAATTTAAATAGCTATTTGCATTGCTGTATTGTATTGGCAAAGGCTTCATTGTAGACGGAACTGAACTGTTGGCTTCAAGTCTTAATGTTTATCCTCCAAATCTATTTTTGATATGTGTGCAAACATGCATCACATTTTGAAATCACGTTTGTTGTTTTTTAAGGAAGGCACTTTATTGAATGTATAAAATACAAATTATGGTGTTTATGCATATGTACCCATGTTGTCGTTGTTTGTTTGTATGTTATAGTTATAATTGTGAAGGGCTGACTTGCCACAAATGCTTCATTGTTAATTTGTCAAGTATATTATCATGTGAGTTTCCGTTTAAAAGCATGGTTGATCTTTTGTGATTTCCTAAACTAGTGTTACTACCGTATAGTCTTGTACAGTATTTATTGTCCGTTTTTTAAAGTCTGCTAAAACTTTGAAATGACTCTTCTAAAACCCCCATGGTGCACTAGTACAGGCTTAGGGTTGCAACATGTCTCTGAAATCC